TTTAATGTTTTACTAAATATGAGAAATAAAAATAAAAGCAATATTAATATTTACAGATGCTATTGTATGCAAAATAATAAATTATTTATTTATTAATTACTATGAACAATTCGTCCCATATCTAGTGAATGCTATATCCCGGTCTTAGAAATGTTATTGATTTAAGGTCTAGCTTCAATTTCTTCCTTGATCTGGAACGAATACTTAAGCTATGAGCCTTTGTCATAACATGATACACAAAATGAATCACTTTAGTCAATACTTTAATTAAATTTTATCGGGAGGTAAAATAGTTGCAGAAGTAAGGTTGCATATTATATAGAATCGTATTATAACATTGTGTTTAAAACTAACTAATAAATGACTAGCACAACACAATTTTGATTTAAAATACTTATTAATCTTATAAAAAGTGAATTAAATAATGTGTCAGTTACCTGAAAAGTTATATTACACTGTTATATATACACTATATAAGAAAGAAATAAATATTATGTTTTAAGAAATAAATGTCTGAAATTATAATGTCACGAAAATAGTTTTATTTGTTATCCTTTATGAGAATTAAACTTAGTATTAGTCTTAATCTGTAAGAAAAATATGTTACTTTCACATTAATAGTTAGCACATATTATAAAAGTTATTTATATATATTTATTAATATAATTTTATTCTAAAATAATATATTTATTTATTTTTGTTATCTTTTATAAATATTAAACGTTAAATATTTTATTTATATATTATTATTATTGATTTTATATAAAAAAAAAAAAACATTGTTCAAAAACCTAAATTTAAAAATGATAACACGGAATTGAACCGGTGCCCTTCGACTTCATTATACTATCATTCTTATTTATCCGAGCTACCGATCGCATTTTTTATGAAATCGAAAATGCGGGTTAGTTTATAACTTTGATTATTGTCTATTATTAATTATTGACGCCATCTTTTAATTGGTTTGCTTGACTTGACTTAGATGGCGCTATATTAAGTCCTCGGAAATGTGAAAATTAACATAATTTATGTGTAATTATATTATTGTTTCTTAATTATTATTTTAACCATTAAAAACCTTATTGTGTGCCTCTGCAGTGTAAAGTATTCAAGCTTTGAAGGGTTATTTTCATTTAAAAGCAGCGCCATCTAGTTATCAATGGTAGCGTTATGCAAAACCTGTCAGTCAATAGTCGACCTTAAGCTCTCCATGCATTTTTGTCACCCTTAGTACCTCGGAATTGCTTTGCGAATTAAAAGTGTATTAAAAACGGTTTCTTTTCAATTTTTGAGGAAAAAATATCTTGAACATCAATTACTAACATCATTTTACCCTAAATCTATATGAAAAAGAAAGTTATTTTTACTATTTATAACTCAAGAACGGCTATACCGATTTCGCTGAAAATTGGTATGGAAGTAACTAAGAACTGGGAGTAAGACATAGGACTTAGGAGGTTAGAGTAGGTAGAGTAGGTAAGGTAGCTAGGGTAGGTAGGGTAGGGTAGGTATAGGGTAGGGTAGTTAGTGTAGGGTAGGTAGGGCAGATATTGTAGGGTAGGTAGGGTAAGGTAGGTAGGGCCGATATTGTAGGGTAGGTAGGGAAGGTAGGTAGCTTAGGGTAGGTAGGTAGGGCAGATATTGTAGGGTGAGAAGTATAGGTAGGTAACTAGGTTGGGTAGTGAGCGTAGTGTGTAAAAGCTAGTTTTAAATGAAGTAACCTGAAATAATAAATTGAACTATAATTACGCACTGTTATTCTTCATTCAAAGAAATGCCAGAATATTCGATTCAGTTAGACAATATTTGTATGTATATAATAGTTGCCCGCATTCAAAAATATCGGTAACCTTCATCGAGTTATTTTAGCACCTTTTATTTGTAGTTGGACAGATAAAGCGATGTTTTTGCCGACGATCAACTCGTCAATAGATCTGGGTCGTTCGTTCAAACTTCCACAATACATAGCACTTTTACTTCGCAAAGAGATCTGTATTCATTTTTATTTATGATTTTATTTTAAGAAACAAACATTATAAAATAGTGTCATTAAATAAAGACAGTATTTTACGTAGTCTTTAAGAGTTTGATGTAAATATTTATTTGCAAAAGGATATTAAAATGGGACAATTTTATGTACATGTATATAAATAATATTCTTACTGATTATAGAAAAAGTGTTTTGCACAGCATGTAAAATTACAGCAATTAAGATCAATATAAGAACCAAGCTAAAATAGCGTAAACACGTCAAGAAAATCGTCTTTATTTAAACCTTTTCAAGTCAAACTACAAACATGATCTTATTGTTAATGTCATGTAATATATCAAACATAATGATATAAGATGACAAGGTGCACCACGGTCGTCGCAGGCGCTGAGGGAAGGCGCTATGCGCTTGCGCAGCCTAATCGTCGCGTAACGGTGGCGAACTGTAAAGCTCGCCACGGACCGCGGGCCGCGTGCTAAATTTGCCGAAACACCGCGATCTCTAGCGGGAAAATTTTAAATCACTCTAAATTCGTGTCGACGCCCGCCCATAAACTACGACAATACACACAGTACTATACCGTGACAGTTGTCACACACGTAATTTTGAGGGTCTATACTCTAATAAACGCTACTGATGACGCCATTGGCCTTTTCCGCCTACTGGGCCCAGTACCGTTGCACTTACTTTAAAATACTCCTAGCGAAAAGAAGACCATTGTGGCAAGCAATGCTACTTAAAAACACGAGGCCATTACTAAAACCAATATGTTGTGTTAAACTCACTGAAACCTTATACGCCGCGTATAATTTCACGTGCTAATGGCGAGCGTCCTCATAACCTTAATCATAAACGCTTTATAAAGAATTTTTAAATGACTTAAGGAACTTTGAAATTGTCAGTGATCTTAATATCAAGCTCTTTTATTCATAATAAGACATATAAACTTAATTAGGTTTTAGATTAAAATGGACTTAGTATAAGCAGCAGTCTCTAATCCGTACTAATATTATGAAGCCAAAGAGTTTGTTTGTTTTAAACAATAAAATGTTAATACGAATTTAACAAGAAAGGAATACAAATAAACATCTCGCTGCAACCATTATTAGGGGCTGAGCAACGGGTGAACCCCGCGAGAGTAGCTAGTCATGTAATATAGGACTCGACGGGTTTAATTATCATACAAATGATTGTTCGTCTAAGCTTCGTCGGTAATATCAATCTAATTTTTTTATGATAAAGTAGTCAAATTAATTTTATAAGCTGTCACGATATCCTTGTAACTTTAAGGAGGAAACCATGAGGAGTACTAACATACAACATACAATAAAAGTGATTACATCAATCATATTTACTTAAATCTATAAATACTGTATGTATATTATAAATTGATGTAATAAATTACAAAACCAGGTTATACCTACAGTTCGCAACTGGTTTACTAAAGATACTAATTACTATTTTTATAAGTGAATACCGATGAATATGTATTTGTGTGAATGTCGTAGTGGCGGGTTAAGGCGCTTGATTCTCATGCATGAGGTTGAGGGTTCGAGACCAGACAAGTAGCAATGTGACTTATTACAGAGCTATTACAAAAAAGAGTTTATGTTCAAACATGTAATCAATGTGACTTTTATGTAAAAGTCACATTGATTAGGTACATTTTTGATCAACATACCTTCTCCATGTGAGAAGAGGCTCTTGCCCAGGAATAGGCAGTCATAAGCTGATGATTATATCAGCATTACGTAAGCTTTATCGCAAATTCTCATCAATTATATATCATTATATTAAGAAACTTGAACGATTTTGTAATACCTCCATCTTACATTAATTAAAATATTCAAATTTTTTTTTATTATAAATTAATACAAAAATATTCAGATCCTAATATACAAATCGAAAACTTTAAAACAGAAATAAACGATGAAGATATTTTACCATCACACTAGTCATTTCATCGTTACAAGGCTGCAACTACAATTTCATTTTTAATATCAATAAAACTTTCTTTTAAAATTAATAAAAAAACCATTATCGAAATAGCAATTGCTTTCTTTATAGCATAAAGAACAGGTGCTAGACTGTTTAACATTGTGACTTGTGACTACGACGGAAGAAACTTAGTCACGTGTAAGGTCAAAGTACAAAGCATGAGGTGTGACCAATGGCTATTGTTTTACTGCATTTGGCGTTTTCTATTTATACACTGTGCGCTTAATTTGGAGAAATTATCAATTCAAACGTTCGGTCTGCACCAGGTAAGTCTATAAATAACTACAAACTATCCAAAATGTTAAAGGAACTAAGAAATTTTCCTCTGAACATGCAAAACAGATCTTAAAAACAACGCCACAGCCAATTAGTGAAATATTTATAGACATCAACATAGTACCTACATTCCTTAATCACGGAGTATGACGAATGAACTCCAGTGCAATGTGAAGCAATTTACATAACAATATTCCTTACATCATGCAATCAAACTCCGCAGGGTTCAACATCCTGATCCTGCCATTAGCAAGCAACATATTCGATATTAATTACGACAAGTTCGCGTGTCACTTACGACGCATTCTGTTACCGCAACAATGAAGAATTGTTACTTGGATCCAATCATGTCACGCTATCGAACTATGAGATTTATCCCATTACGGTACCAATTGATAGATTTTCTACTCTTCACACCATTTTGTACTTAACAGAATACGTTAACACGTACATTAAAACACAGTAAACATAACGGGTTCATTAAAATTTTAATAAACATCATACATTTTCAATGTTGTTCCAAAGTTAGTTCTAAGTCGCAGTAGGTCTACGTACAAAGTTTTATCAACTTTCCATTAACTGTCAGCCTCGCTTCAAACTCTTCGTGTACGCCCTACAATCAACACTTTAAAATAATAAACTATTTATCAGCTTCACACTCTACTTAAGGCCGCCCAGTTTTATTCGAGCCAAAGTATCCGTGACTCTTTCCACAGACAAAGGGTCATTAGCGAAAATGTCGGAGTCAACAATAGAACAAGCGAAACGGGAAATTGATGAATCTTTGGTTCTGAGCGCATTCTGCATGCGTCGTATCGGGCTGTCGTTCCAGGATCCTAAAAGTGCATCGGCTTATTTACGTCAGAAGCTGATGTTCATTGCATCTGTCTGCGGCATTTGCTACCACGTATTCAGTGAAATCGCCTTCATCGGCCTCACGTTGTCGAATTCGCCACGAGTCGAGGATGTCGTTCCACTTTTCCATACTTTTGGCTACGGTGCTTTAAGTAAGTAACTATGTACAAGTACATATAAATTGAGCCACTCGTCTGGCTATCTGTCTCAGTTAGAACCACTTTAAAGGTCTGTTAACAGGGTACCATTTAGCTACGTTATTTTATAAAACATAATTTTTAATGGTGTATTAAGTAATAAATTAATGAGGAATAACTTTAATGAAGCTTGAAGTTAATTTATGTTTTTAATTAGGCTGTAAAGTTACTTGGTTTGTATAATAAGTTCGTCTTACATTTACAATTCTTATTAAATTCCCCAGGTATTGCAAAGGTATTTGTGTTATGGTACAAAAAAGATGTATTCCGTCAACTACTGAATGAGCTGGCAGGCATATGGCCGATGCCTCCGCTGGAAGAGGAAGCTTTAATCATTAAGAACAAGAGTCTGGCCGCACTCCGCATCACACATCGATGTAAGACATTAAAACATGACATTCTTCGAAGTGCGAACACACGATCCGGTATGCCGCTGTGTGAAACAAATGCAAGGCTATTTATAAAGTTTAAGTTTTTTAAAAAAAACTGCATGCAAAAGATTAAGGTCAGGGACACTTTCTCAAAATGAGTCACTTCCGAGGCTTATCAAAACAGGTTCAATAACAGATATCGTAAAAAGCTCTAAATGTTTGTTATTGTGGATTCAATTGAAATGAAACCGGGCTAAACTAACTATACTTTAACATTTAATGCAGTTATTATATTCCTTTCAACGCTTTCTTCTCAGGGTATTTCTTCATGAATGTATCAGGTGTGTGGTTCTACAACTTGACTCCGATCGCCATTTATCTGTTTGCCCTGATTCAAGGCAAGAACGATAAGATTGGATACGTCTGGCATTCATGGTACCCGTTTGATAAACACCAAACGGTTGCGCATGTCGCTGTTTATCTCTTTGAAATATTCGCGGGTAAGATTAACTTCTGAATACATAAATGATCAATCTATTTTTAGTCTCATCTTAGTATAGAATAACCCACTTCCGCGAGTGATAACTGAATGCAAATACCGCTAGCACAGTTAATTGACAGACAGACAATTTACCGGTTAATTGGTTACAAATACCAATATGTTTACGGAAAATTTCATTGCAGCAAGCTATATCATACTACATACATTATAACACAATTTTCTTCCTAAAATAAAATGATTAAGAATCACATCTAGCACACTACAATAATAATCCACACTCTCGATGCAGTTATTGCAAGCTGTTATTTTCATTCTCAATCAAAACATTCCATAGCGTGTGCTTTAAAAAGATCGCTTCTCTCAAAATGGTGACCTCTACCACTATAATAGCTTTTAATAACTTAATCGTGTCTATTACTAAGCCATCTCACTCGAAGAGCAAAAAAGAGCGCCCAAAATTAATACCAGTACATTTCTACGGACAAAATGCTTCTTTTATTGACATAGAGAGAGTGAAAGTCCTGATGATATAGAATCAACTCGAAGCCTATTATCAAATTGAGAGCTACATCTCTTTGGTAAAGTAGCAATTAATCCAGTTTAAAACATTCTGATTGTACTCTGGGCTCCTAAAACGAAGGTGTAAACGCGATCGCATGCTGAGCCAAAAACAAATATCGTTTAACTGACAGCGATAAAAGGCGGTTTTGTATTCCGAGTGTTAATACACTTGAGTCATGATATGCTCTAGTTAGTGCGGAGCCTTAGAATGGGAATAATTTGGCACGAATATTATGTTAGGCGCCATTTTGGTATTGAGGTTAAGTATACGCCATTGTTTTTGTTATTGTTCAAAATTGTTCTTAATTTCATATTTATTGTGAATTACAAATGATTAATTTTATTTCCACTATCACATGGATACTACTTAATTTATTCTACATGTGTTTTTTACGGCTTCAACTTACCTAACGTATCTGCATAATATAGCATATTCTAAATTTAAAACTTCCCACAGAAACATTAAAAAATAAATACGAGGACATTTATGTAATTTATAAATGTGATTTATAATCTACTTTTTCTAAAGCTTGTGGCAAAACGGTAGTAATGTATGTGGATAATAATGACAAACATATTGAGACAATTTTCTAGGTTAGTGTGTAATGTAGTAGGGAAGTTGACTTGCAATAAAATAACAAGGCTTATTTTGTAGGTCAGACTTGTGTATGGATTATGGTCAGCACAGACCTCTTATTCTCAGCTATGGCCAGCCATATAAGTATACTGTTACGTCTCCTGAAGCGCCGATTGGAATCTGTGGGTACGGCTGATAATGAGCACTACGGCGAGATACTGGCGAACATTAAATTGCACCAAAGACTTATAACGTAAGTTATTCTACCTCTTTACTTTACATGTGTGGATAATTAAGTATTACGCTAAGCACAAATTAATTTGATAGTAGCCCTTTATTGGTTTATATATACATATTTGTACCCTAGTAGGTTCCTACCTTAATATACACCTAATTCGCCTAAAACTACCTATTGAAAAAACCGTATCGAAAATTGTTACGTAATTTTAAAGATCTGAGCATACATATACTTATACACACAAACAGCGGCAAGCAACATTGTTTATACTATACAATGATTTAAAAAAATGATGCCTAGGTGACATAAATTCGTCATTGGCCCTCGTTTTAAGCCATACTCCCAATATTTTCATGACTTTTTGGCATAGCAACACGATTTTACTTGCGTAAGTTTGAAGATTTATTCCATTTTGAGACGTGATAGATATAAAAAAAAAGAATATTTCTATAACTCTTTAAAAACGGTATTGTGCATTTTTTTCCAATTCCAGATACTGCAACGATTTAGAAAACGCTTTCTCCTTATCGAACTTCGTGAACATTATGTTGAGTTCGGTCAATATCTGCTGTGTTGTATTCGTTATTGTGGTAAGTGTTGCACGCATTTGATTCAGATTTTACCAGGAAATATTATACGAACCGTCTATACCGTGCTGAATTATTTGCACGTTTTCCAAAGAATACACCGTACGGAATTGAGCAGACTCTGAGAGGCCGGTCAACAATCATTGTTGCTACAGAAAAGTAATACATGTAGGTTCCTCGTTGTTTTAACTTCTAACTTCTACCTTCTACCGATCAAGGTTCCGACCTCGAAGCTCCGTTTAAACGACATAATTTAAGTATAAAGAAGACTAATAATAATGAAAAACTATTTTTATCATATCCACCAGTCCATAGCAACCCATACCTATACCTAACCCTATCAATTTTTACCACATTTTACAATAGTCCTGCATCAACCGGGGATTGTCCTTGGGTGCACTTATATAGTGCATACAGGGATAATTGCCGGCTGATGTCCCATCACATTTAGATTAAAACTGTTCAACGGGCCTCTGCGAGTTGGCTTCGGCTCCTCGTACGCCTTCCAAAGGTCCGGGACCCTGTGGTCCCGTGAAAGTAAAGAATGAAAAACTATTTGATGTTTTCATTAAAATATATTAATGTGATTCCAGCTCCTAGAACCATTCATGGCGATCAGTAACAAACTGTTTTTGGGTTCAGCTCTAATTCAAATCGGAATGTTGTGCTGGTACGCGGACGACATTTTCCATGCGGTTAGTTGACGTTTTATTTTATTTATGAAACAAAATTTCGGTCTGTTTTCGCTCCATTTCTTTTTTAACAATATAACGACCGTAATAGTTTCTTTGAAATGTGAATTATAAAGTAAAAATTTCATACAATAACTCTACGGCTATAAACTATCTTAAGGTAGAGATGAGAACGCAAGATAGTTTCTTTCGCCACTATATTTTACGACTGTGAGATTATCTTTGAATCCGTTGTATCCTTCAAACTTTATGTCGGTAATTGGAGATTAAAAGAATCACGTTTGGCATTCTTAATTATGTTAATCCACGAAACATTTATCGATATTTTTTTTTCAAACGAGGTAGCTATGTTGATACAGACCAACGATAATAATTTATAGAAGACGTTATATCCGGCCTTCACCCAAGTGCTATTTGCCGATGTATTTGCTAAATAGCTAAAGCCATTTGAATTCAGAATTGACTCTACACGTTATCTCAAAGGAGTTTGTATATCATACCTACTAGCGGCGCGTCCCTTCTTGGCAAGAATGTTGTTGATAACGATTAAAGAGTCAATTACCCATTGTTTCCCTCAGCTTACCCTCTTCTTAAAATATTCTTTCACAAGAACCTTCTTCTGACAATAACAAGCCAAAAGAAATGGCAGAAGGCAGATTAGGTCACAGCGTTGTAGAGTTTCATTTCATTTGATTGTACATTTATATACAGATGTAAAAAAACGTTGAAAGTGTTGAGTACAGACACAGGACACGACATAATTTGTGTTAAATTATAGCTGGGTGATAATTAGATTTAGAAAAAGAACACGTTATGTTTCTGTCCTTGTCATTTTAAGCGAGCGTCATTCAAGAGTCGGGTTTTTGTATTTCGTAGCTTTGGCTGCCTGCTTCGAAATCATAGGATTATTTATCATAACATGAGAAAAGATATTGACGAATTAATTCATTTCCTTGCATTTTTTAAAGTTTTAAGGCTTCACTGAACTAACACACTTACCGTATATTTGTAACCGCACCCACGACACAAAAGAAAATCCTAGTGTGGGGCAACGTTTTAAAAAAAAAGAAATTGACATTACTATATTAGTAGTAGTATTACTATAAGTAGGTATAGCCATTTCCGATTTTTTTGAGATTAAGATACAGCAATGGATTTCTTTAATTATTATACCTAATAAGGTCTATGTCAGGTCAAATACTTGAGATTCATACAAGGAGAGTCTTTTGAGGTCGCTTTTGAGTAACGACAAGACCTAAATAGTAATTTTTATATGTATTTGCAATTTATCAATAAATCATGTTTTCTTAAGCCTACTTAAACTTTTTAACTACTGTAGGAACTTTTCATTTATATCTTAAATGGAAATAATCCCGTAATCTTACGTCAACCTTATGTTATGTAGGACTGCGTACAACATGCTTAAGATTTCTCAGAAATGTATATGGTGATATTTTGGTGCTCGTCTCCAAAATATAAAGCTCTCCTTTGTAAAATATCTCCTCTAATATTACGGGTAAGAGGAGGCAACGCTGATAGTTTACCACTAGTTGTTTACCACATATTATTTTTTATATAAAATTACATATATTTTTTTTACATATAAAATTGAATTCTGGTGAAATTGTGATGGTAAGCAAAGCAACGCCTGAACCAAGCTTGCCACTTGTTTTTTTCTCATATTTACAAATATCAGAAGATAAAAAATGTTTGTTGAAAAGTGAAGTGTTTAATTTGGGAATTAATAACCGGGAAAATATTTTGATACCTTTAGGAAACACCGCCGTTAGTACGGTATATACGTGAAGTACAAAACACGTACATATTTTGTAAAGTATAAAAATTAATCCCAATACTCCTTGATCACGGCATCACAGTCACACGTAAACGATTAAACCGATTCCGAAAAATCTTTTTTTTACTGTTCTTAGGAGAAGGTACCTGTGAAAGCAAAATGTAAGAAACTAGAGGGGGAAATCTGGAAAAAGGAGTCCTACCGTTGCTATAGGGGTTCGTTAACAAAACAAATGACTAACACCAAGGTATTGTGAAGCCCATGCTTCACATTGCTTTTTTGTAGACTACTAGTGAAGCACCCATGTGCTTCACTAGTAGTCTACAAAAAGTGTACATTAATTAATTATCCTTCATCCCTTAAGAACTAAAATAATGTAAATATCTATGTTCTCCTATGTATAGAACGCTGATGTGGCCGCGGCAGCTTACAATAGCGGATGGTACCGTACAAATCCTCGGTGCCGCCGCGCCCTGCTTTTCCTTATACAGAGGTCAGTTGAACAAAAAAACATAATTCGATGTAAAATTAACTATTGTAACTTGTTTAAACACATCCATATTAAGCACCTCGTCTCTTTATCTTCAATGCTTTTAGAAATGTTCGTCTCGACGCTCTGTCTGTCTGTCTGTCTATTTGTGAAGAACAATTCATGTAATTTGTCCTTGATTTTATTCACAGTTTGTCTGGTTTTATAGCCCCGATTTATAGCAACAAGAAGGGGGTCTCATCACATTTCAAAACTCTGACCATTTGGCTTATCTTAAGTTTATTTCTAATATTTTTTAGAAATTTGAGTCTTATGCTAGGATACTCCAAAAGAATACTCCTGGATAAGACCAAATACACAATTATAGTCAGTATTATTGGCCTTCCTCATTTATGAATTCTATGTCTAAGATACCATACGATATATATCATCATCAGCCTGATTACGTCCTCTGCTGGACAATCCCTCCCCAATTGCACGCTACTGAGCTCGATGTTCAGCGCTTGGTTTAAACTCCAGAACACGTCTAACCCAACGGTCATCGGTTCTTCGACAAATGTGACCTGCCCACTGCCACTTCAGTTTGCTAATCCTTTGGGCTATGTCGACAACTTTAGTTCTCTGTCAATACGATCCAAATGGATATATACTTACATTGCTAAATATGCTAGAATGATTAAGGGTGAAAATATAAAAGCATAATTTTCTTTTTATAACAGGATAATATTGTTTTAGGGCTCAAAAACCGATTGCGTTCACAGCAATGGGTTTCACAAATATCACCCTCGTTACATATTCAGCGGTAAGTATTGTTCTCTACTCAAGACTCAAGCATTTACCTTGGAATGGAATCTCTTTGAATAAATGAACTAAATTCTCCTGAAACGAATTTAAACTCACGACTTTGCACCTAAAACTAGTTCATGCATCTTCCAAGAATGCGTAGGTATGCAACGCTTATGGTGATGGTATCCCCACAGAAAAAAGTTGACCCTGTAACTTCATGAAACTGTGAAACGACTTACAATTTACAAATAAGATCCTTTTTACAAAAAAAAATATACTCAAAGTATAACTCTTATTTACTGATTACCCAGTTTAGAAGCTATAAGCCGATTGTAATTTATGTTTTTTAATTTCAGATCCTGACGAGATCCTACTCGTACTTCGCATTGCTATATACGATGTACAATGAAAATTAGACCCTACATAATTAATTATACGTACATAACTTAGATAAAGCTGTAGATATGCCTAGATAGCAGTATCAATGGATTCCGTTTCCCGTATAATTGCACAAAGTTTATCTTAGCGATGTAACTAACCTTCTTGCATATAAACATAGACAACATATGTCTTCGCTCTGCACCAAGGAGGATGTTATCAGAGTCAGTCATTAGTGTTTTTCTGACAGAAAAATCTGTCCAATTTGAAAAGATTTGTTATTTTAAATATGTGGAGAAGAAAAACAACTATTAACTACCTTGTAAACAACGTATGGTGAATATCTCAAAGGTATAAGTTTACTATTGAATCTCCATATATACACATATAAACAATAACAAAAAATTAGTCTAGAAGACAACATACACTATCGCGCTTAGCTGTTAGAAATGGCTTTCGCGAGATGGTTCCAGTAAAATGTTACCCATCCACATATTTCAGGAATCACCGAAAACAGATTCTATAGAAAACCAATCTTTACCAAGCTTACCTAGACACGAGGAAGAGTCCAGAAAAACTCAAAACTTGAAAGTCATGGATAGATCTGATCACCCGCATTACTCTAAGGATAAGGAGCACAATGCACCGAGATCCGATCAACAGCACCCAAGCAAATACCACCATCAAAGAAAAGCATACTCAGTCCCTAAATTCAGTCATCATAAAACTTTTGGAAGCGTCAGGGCTATGAGTTACAATGTGATGGATCAGAAAACAAGTACACTTCAATTCCGAAGATCAATAAATCCCTTAGAGCCGATGAATAATGAATTGGCAGCCTTTAAAGCAAAGATGTTGAAATCTTCATCCAAAATACATGAAAAGCTAATAAATTCGGTAAAATATTCAAAATTATTTAAAAGATTATCACAAACAAGATTTTTTTATAAAGGGAAATATATATTAACACCGTCTTTTATTCATAGCCGAAATCCAGCAGAAGAGATGTAAATATCTGTACAGAAGAGTTCATACGGCTACCAAAATTGCAGCCCAATGAAGCAGAATTCCTTAAACTCGTATCAAAGGACGATGTCGATGGTGCCAAAAATTTTTTGAATAAGCATCATGGCCTGAACGTGAACTGTACAAACTTTCAGGTTAAACCTCTAGTTATTTTTTACTTACTTCTAGTGGGTTCGCACCGGTCCAAATATTTTTAATCCAAATATATTTTAGCAATAAATAAAGGCTTTATTACTAAGGGTTAGTAAGGGTGTATGTAAAATCCAGTAGTGATTTTTTTATCGGCCGAGTAGGTTTATTTATTACGAACATATGTGCACACACTCAAAAAATATTAAGTTATTCTTCTTTATAATATAAGTTTAAACAAGGCTATGCTTTAGTGTTCAACAAAGATAAAACCGTGTCACTTTGTAGGGAATGTCGGCGCTCCAAATGGCTGTACAAAACAGATCTCAGGCAATGGTTGAATTTCTCTTGGGGCTTCCGAATGTGGAAATATCTGACAGTGTGTTACAAGCCATCCGATGCAACAATATTAAGATATTGGGTAAAATGTTGTTGTTGTTCTGGCTTTCACTTGCCTTATAAAGGAATTGAGTTTTTAAAAGTAGGTGAATGTTCGCAGTTCGGTTGTTGGAAGCTCAGCAGAAGATTTCGCCGGGATTAGAGTATGCGGGGGCGACACACTCGGCAGACTTCCCTGCGCACGTGACTCCGCTCATCCTCGCAGCTCAGCTGGGACATTATGAGATTGTCTCACTACTCATTGAAAGAGGGCATACCATCACTCGCCCCCATAAAATTAACTGTCCTTGCGGTTGTTGTAGGTGAGTCAAGGTGACGATGATACCACTATTGCTAAACATAATCTCATAAATTTTTCGTGAATAAGGATTGACAGATTTGTGATCGTGATCGAAACGCTCGTGTTTACCGATATTCGACTAAAATGCCAATAATAAAATATTTTCAAAGTGTTTACTGTTAGTTATTTAGCAATAACTACTAATATTTATTTGTTTATATAAAAATGTAAATTGAAAATGACTCATTTTACAATAATAGAAATAAAATTGATTTTGAATAGTGTTAAGCTATCAAGGCGACATTGAGCTGCCCACGCGCAACCGGCTTATACTATACTGCTTCCTAATGCCATTTTACTGTTCTAGCCACACCACCGTTATTTGAACAAATGTTTTGTTATTTTAGAGTTCTTTACTCTAATTGTGCTAAAAGAATGATATTACGTAACATGTCACGATCATTAAAAACCAACATCGTGCCTTCTGTCAGGTAGGTAGGCAGGTTAGATGCCCAGCCAACGAACCCAAACTTACCATCCAAGTAAGTACCTAGGCTGAAACGTAACAACCAATTTTTGTAAATTATAGTTACCACTCCCTTGGATCTCCTTTTAATTTCCAATCGAATTTCAACTTTATTGTTTCTACTCCCAAGTTGATAATAAATTAAATTATGACTGTATTATTTTTCTAGAAATTGCTGCATGAATGAGGACCCACTGCATGAGAGCAGCGTTCGCCTATCCGTGTTCCGAGCTATTGCATCTCCTGTATACTTGGTGCATATATGCGCCGACCCTATATTGGCAGCATTTAGGCTTGCTGCAGAGCTGGCAGACAATGCTGCAGCTCATAGGCAGCTCGCTGCAGCCTACCTGCAGGTCGCTGATGACGTCAGCGCCTTCGCTGTCGACCTCATAGGTATGTATGAGTTTTCTCTAGAAAATATTTCTTAGAAACATTATGTTTTGAATGTTAATGTAGAAGGATTGTTAGAACGTCGCGTCGTTAGTTAAAAGTAAGACTGTGATGACATCACGCCTATTCACTCAGCCCCGGCGGGCACAATACAGACACTTTTCACCAGTTGTTATTCGTCTTATTGTATTTGGAGACGAGCTTACGCCAAAAACTATCAGTCCAATTCCAAACTCCACATATCTATCATCTATCTATATATCGATACAGAGGTAGGATGAAGTCATTGTAGACATATCGAAACTCACATTAATTAAATATTCATTCATTTTCCAAATTCTTATTAAACTAGCACTGTAGATATTTAAAAACTCATTACTGCATGATTAATAGATTAATAAACGTATGAATATTTCTAAACTTTCACATATGTACTACACTAAAAGCCAATCATTAAAACTAAAGCTCTGTTCATGTCTGTTCTTAATAGGTTGTTGTCGTACATCTGAAGAGGTGGAATTTGTGTTAAAGCAAACGACAGGTTGTCTCGGACGTCGTCACTTTGTGTTGCCGAGGCTGATTATGGCTGTCGACTATAAGCAGAAGGAATTTGTCGCACATCCCAATACACAACAGGTATAGTATAGTAAGTGCTTAAAACGCTATTCACACATTCGGAGACCGAACAATTTCACTAGTAATCCCACATTTGGAAAAAGAATAATTTAGTCCCACTGAACTAGTTGAACTTACAAGGTTTGACTAACGGGATAGCCTTAATTGTCTAAACTTACAAGGTCATTAAAAACGATGATAATTTCTAGGTGCTAGAGTCATACTGGCTCGGCGACTGGCACGCTTGGAGAAGCAAATCTCTGTTATCAAAGGCGATACTCGTTTTAAGCCGAGTGTTCATAACGCCATTTATTCTCCTAGTGTGTATGGTGAGTACATTATTTTCGTTTTTACTCACGGTCACTCTCCCTGAGTTTGTGTCTAATTAGAATGTTTGCAGGTAGCGCCTCGTCATCGCCTCGTATCTTACTGGCAGATACCGTTGAACAAACTGATTACTCACGTCGCCGCATACTTCGTTTTCCTTGCTCTAGTCTTCTATATTTCTAATCAAGATAAATATAATCAGAAACGAGGACCTCCAAACACAGGTTCGCGCTTTACTTTCTAATGACGCTTATGTGATGCTTTGTCAAGATTATCACAATTAATTGCACACGATATCCCAGCTGCAGCTTGATAACGTATCATTATGGTACACAAATACCTCTACCTGCTGTGTATCATTTATATTTCTTTATTTGTTAGTCAACTATAGCCGAGACCGTTACCGTTGGAGCTTTTTAAGGTAAGCCAATAGGCGATGTAGATAGCAGTCTATAAATGGTTGCTTTGATTAAACAAGAACAAATGATAGCTGTCCTCCTTTGGTCTGCTAGGCGCGGAGGCGCCGCTCATTCTGTACGTGTGTGGCTACGCCTGGTCAGCTCTCCGGATGATCGTCATGCAGGGCCCGAATCGATACTTCAGCAAGATGTGGAACTGGACTGAACTTATTATGCTCACTTTGTTTTTCATGACATTCGTCTTTTGGATCCTAGCTGCGATTGACGTTGCAGGTTATAACGACGATGAATTAGGTAATGCAGCAGGTACCCCTTCCCTTTGCTTATTTACTCTTTTCCTAATATACTTTGACATAATGCTACTAGGATTAACAACAATAAGCGCAGTGTAAAAAAAAATATGTGTTGTGTTACAAAATTTGATTGGCAGAATCGAATTACTGCAAAACCGTCTCACGTAATCTTGTCTTCCGTAGCCCCTAGATTATAATTTAAATTCTCGAAAACGCGTAGGACAAGAAGCGGCATGTGGGCTGAGAAGCCAAACTTGCGGTGGGGACCAAAAACTATTTACGACAGTTGGCATGCCAGAGGCAGTGCTGGACCCTTAACAGAAACCACGCTTAATGTAGGCAACATACAGCAAACTCGTTTGCTTGTAAAAAATATGCTTGAGATACATTCTCAAGCATATTTTTTATATGCACATATATTTTAATGTTTGCCTTAGAATGTTAGGTATGCTTACGACAAATAAAGCTATATAACGTCGTATATGCCAAGTTATATAACGTCGTAAAATAATATGCATTTGGCAAATGGATAGGGATATATCAAAGCAGAACAACGACAATTCCTTTTAAACCTTTTGTAGATCACAGAATGAGATATTACTTTCCAAGATATTCCGCTAAGTAATTTTATTGCCACTAATGCCGATACTACTACTCTTGCGTCTACTTAGTGTAATTACTTTAAGCACTAGATGTCAATGTACCGCCTTGGTACTTAGTTATCGCTAGCTCTTGCGTTAGCTCTAAATATAAAATCATTAGATAAGATAGAACTCGCTCGTAACAGCTAAAGAACTTACGGATCACGTACTCAAAAGCGTATTTAGCGGTCGATGTATATGTAGAAACGAATTTACAAGATTGAATTTGACCTTTAAAACTATTCAGATCGCAAATATTGGAACCAGCACGACCCAACTTTATTAGCCGAGGGCACGTTTTGCCTGGCGACTATAATCGCTTTCTTCCGACTTATGTTCCTGTGCCAGTTGAACTACCATCTAGGGCCACTGCAGGTATGCTGATTTTACATTTAAATGTCGCATTGATTCTATGTAAGAATGTCCTCGTTAGAAAATGTTGCATACATACCTTTATTCAAATTAGATCTCCTTGTTTGGGTTTACTGTTTCAAGAGTTCTCTTCATGCGAACGTGTAACATTGTACCTACAAGTTATATTAGTTCTACTTTAACTTGTATCGACATCTGGCCATCGATGCACATTGTATAACTCACTTATACTACAGTTACTTTACAGGTATCGTTGGGGAAAATGACTATTGATATATACAAGTACATTATAATATTTGCTATTATAATCAGCGCGTTTACGGCTGGCTTGGCGCGGTTCTACCAATATTACGATGGTATGGTTTATGAAGACGAGTTCGGAATGAAGACAGTACAGGTAAACGCTGTAAACATTATTAATAAAATTATAAGATGACTGTTTCTAGCTGTACATTTTATATTCATGTATTGCAATTTATTGTGGTCTATAAAACTCATGACCCAACTCATATACCGATGCAATTGTCCCGAATACACTATAAGAATAGCAAATATTACCACTATCAAGTTAAACTTTAACCCATGGAGACAATAACGGAATTTAGTAGTCGTTATAATCTGCCACGCATGTCATTTTGAAACAGAAGTTAACAGACTAGGTTAATATGAAATAAAAATGTTCACAGCGTAGCGTAGGCGGAATTTGACCACAACTTCACGCGGTTTTTATATCTAAATGTTTATGTTTTAAACGCATTTTATACGTATTTCTGAGGTTGGGGTCAGATTGTGTAGGTACCTACCTATGTCGGCTTGGCTGAACCGTTGTAAAATAGGGCGTTGGCGTTGTACTAGCGGGACTTACGACCTTTTTATGGCGTCGTAGCTAAGTTTAAAGTTCATCCGATTTTCATGAGACTCGATGTACAGAGAAGTCTCTGTGTGAATATTTCACATTTGTCAGTAGTGAACTAGGCATGCTTATTGAAGCAGGACGGTTGAAAAGTAAGTAGGTGCCTAGTAGACTACGGCTATAGGCTATTTGAGGAATAAACGACGAGCTTTCGCGATCAATCATTAGTTCACATTGTCTGGAGCTTATTTCACGGATCATTGCAACTTACAATGAAACATTTACTGTTACTTTACATTAGACGTTGTACAAAAACCGGATGATCTGCCTATGTAAAGCGTTTACACTGGTTCCCATGACTCACGGAGGTGCTGATGCCTTTGTTATCAAAATTAACTGTTTTAATTTAAATTGAGTGTAGTGTTATGTAATGGGAAGACTCGTTAAGTAACAGTTCTATCATCAAAATTGTGTAGTTTCCTATGTCAAACATAAATTGACTTTACAGTATTTACCTACAATAACAAAATTGTAAAATGTAACTAGGTATACTTTCATTCATTAATAAATTAAAATTATTTATATCCGCAAATATATCTAAGTATTTTTTTCGAAATAAAGTAGGTACTTATTTACCGAAAAACATTATGACGTCATATGTTGCGATTTGATACAAAAGTCATAGAAAACTGTCATTTTTAATATTTCAACAATAGTATTGAATTTGACTAGCAAAAAACTACCGAATTCCTTGTTAGATTTAGTCTGATTTTAGTTAGTCTTTACAAGCAAGAAGAACGTATTTTGCAGGATAAAAAAGTTATTGACATTTTATATTTTACAATAGATACCTATTGATTGCCTCTTGCAACTGTAAAGGATAACATTTCCAGGTAGCCTCTTTCACAAGTTTGACGGACACACTAAACACGTTATTCTGGGCTCTATTCTGTATGGCACCCCTGGAAAGTGCTGATGTTGTGCTGGAAAACACACGCGACCCAAAAAGTATGGATAAGATGCATGAAAATAGACACGGATACACTGAACGTATTGGATACTTCTGTTTTGGATGTTAGTAGTTTTATGAAATGATATCTGTAGATAATACTTTTAGAAATTTATTAATTTTAATTATCTATCCTGAAGAACAGAAATAAGTATACACAGTAAGGCCTCGAGGAACTGGAAACTTAAGATCTTGGAATGATCCCTCAATTTTTTGCTTCGGCACTAATGAGTTGGTTCTACCGGAGTGATACCTCAGCCTCACAAAAAACCGGCGTGAAACAACCACAGGTTGTGTTTCGCCGTCAGAGTGATTTTACCGGAGGCCCAATACCTCCCCTCCCCAACCCCCAAATCTTTAAATCACAAATCCCCAAAAGGTCGCCAACGCACTCGTAATTCCTCTGTTGTTGCGGATGTCCATGGGCGGTGCTGATTATTGCTTACAGCTCATATACGTAATCCATCTGCACGTTTGCCGACCTATATCTACCATAAAAAATATATGTTCTCACATTACTGTAAGTGTGTTGCGCATAAAAAATAAACAAATAATATTGTACTGATATTAACGGTACTGTATCTTAAAATGAAAAGTAAACATTTTATGGTGTTTTTGCAGGCTTCGAAGTAATATCCGTAATAGTGGTACTGAACATGCTAATTGCTACTATGTCAAATACTTTCCAAAGAGTTAATGACAACGTCGATATAGAGTGGACGTTCGGGAAAACTGAGGTAACTATGCAACGTATTAGGATCACTTTGCTTCCATTCACGGGACTACAGGGTCCCGGACCTTTGGAAGGCGTACGAGAGGCCCAAGCCAACTCAAAGAGGCCCTTTGAACAACTTAGTGAAATGGGACATCAGCCGGCAATTATACCTGTATGCACTATGAAAGTGCACCCAAGGGCAATTTCCGTCGATGCAGGACTATTGTGTCAGTTGTATTACTAGTATTTATTTATATTTAGTATATTAACTGTAAATACTTATGAATTTTATACGCAGTAAGTGAACCGGCTACCTAAATATCATGTGTCATTTTTGGTAGATTCGTATCTACGATATACAAGTGAAATATCTATTGGGTATATTGATACCTGGTTCTATTATATGGCAAATGTGTCGGCTCTACCGGAATGATTCCATAGCCTCACAGAAAACCGGCGTGAAACAACCACAGCATTGTATTTCCGTCGCCAATCCCTAAATCTCCGAAATCCTAACGCCTAAAAGGCCAGTAAGGCACTCCTAACTCATCTGGTGTAGGTCAATCCATCTGCTCCTCTGCCGACTTATAACATTAAAAAACTACTGCCAACTTATACTTTTTTTTTTTTTGATACGCATCAAAAGTGTTTGTTCGCCTTTCATCCTTAAATACCCCCTGAAAGAAATTAATATTGCACAACATCTCACCATCAGAAATACTCCCGATAACCCATTCCAAAAACCCCTGTCTCGCAGTCTTTAACTATCGTGACTTCTTAACTCTAATGAGTATAAAAATGAACGGCGTCATTTTGAAAACCACTAATATCCAGTCCATCTTATTTGCTCAAGTTTTACAAAACAACCTTTTTGGAAATGCATGACATTATCAAATGATAACTGCTTAATGCTTAGTACCAAATACTTATAACAAGAACGCATAGGCGCTAAGGCTCAGTGGTAGGTAGGTAGTACTATACATGTTTCTCAAACCGTTATTATGAATTCCTTAAAGGCTAAATAGAGTACAACATTTATTATTAAATGTATATTATGTAAATTCAATCCAAGCCTTCCTAGTTATGTACTTATGTAGGTATGTCACAGTTTAATCTCGTAAAATAGTGGAGGTTAACGAACCCGTAGGTGGTCGCCAGTTAGCAATAAAACTTTATAGTAAGATACCTTGGGCAAGTTCAGGTCAGGTACAGGTTTTTAGCCCATTATGGACTATATTGTGCACAAATAAGGGTATTGTTATTACAACCGATCCAATCTGTGCACTCATTGTTTCTAATCGACTAGGCAGATACTGTGCTTACTCTCTTGTATTTATTTCTGATAGTTTTTTAAAGATAATTTATCAGAGCCCTGTTATGAACTAAAACTGCATTCCGTCGCAACTCTATCGGACTTCGGATAATCGAAGTTAATTAATTTATCTTATATAGTAAAATATATTATCTCCTCTTTGTCATACATCTCATGACTTTACCGAGTGGCCACATGAGATCTCAGTAACGCATTAGCTCAATTTCTAAATCATTAAGTGTTCTGCTCCTAGCTTACCGACAAACTAGGGACTTCCTACGTATGTAGGTACCTAACCCTCTGGTGACTTTCTCAGCAGAATAACGCTAACAATTATTATTTACAGGTATATATAGACTATATGCTCCAAACAACGCTACCGTCGCCATTTAACTTGATCCCCACAGCGTCGGGGGTGGGTAACGTTATGGAATGGTTTCGTGTAAGGTTTACCCGCCCGCCAGGGTCCTATGCTCGTTGGTCACCTTCGTATTGCTGTTACATCGTAAGTATTCACTCGTTAATACTACACTTATTACCTCATTGACTGTGGGTTGGTAAGTATGCTCCGTGACTCAGAAAACATTAATGTTCTGATCTCTTACTGGTAGCATATCTAGGTAGTAATTTATTCTGGGACTACGAAAGCTTTCAACGTCTCAATTTATGCGGCTGCATACTTGCTCGCACTTTCTCAAATCTCCATAAAACTTAAATGAGAGAAAGACCTATACAATCAACAGAATCCACAGACGATACCTACATAAATCTACAACCAGACAGCCATTTGCTTTGAGTGATCCACGTGAGAAGTTCGTATGCATGAGGTTACTTAGATACCGTTCCATCTTGATTCCCAGTGAAACATAACGTTACATGACAATACCCGTATCAATGAATCGATGAATGGTGTTACTTAATTCATAAAACAGACAATGGGACATTAATTTTGCAGTGCCCCGTTTCTGAATATTGTTTATTACTTATCTAGTTGCTTTTTGTACATCTAGATGCGTAGGCCCTCCACTTAATTACCCAGGAAGCAGTAGTAATTGTTCTATAAACACTTTATTAGCACTCTAATGAATAAAGAGATAAGAACTTTACCGAAGTGCAATGTCGAATGAATTTATTAAAACTGATTGGATTTATTTGGTGGGTACTTCTTGTAGGCGTTATAGCTATGACTTTAATTTTCTCGTGCTCACACAGTCACATTGCACAAGCATCTGAAGTAAAAAAAAATCTTTTTAATGTAGACTAGGTAAGAACTACCGTCTGACCTCAATACAAAACATCGATACTCCGATTAGAAAAGCATTTGAATTTGAAGTGAATGGTAACCGATTACTATCGCATCCGACCGTTGTCTCAGTTTGCGTGTGAACAAACGGGCCGTTTAACGTTAATTATTTTTGCATTAGGAGCGTGATGTGGAAGCGAATGTACAGAAAGAGTATCCGGCGCTGATGTCTGTTCTTGTGCAGCGATACTTCAGAGACAAAGACAACTCGATGATACACGCTCACAGAATGGAGTATGAAGTCGCCGCTTTGCGCAGAAACGTTGCCAGCATCAGGGTTCCACGGAGTCATATTCCTTAGTGTAGATGTGTGTCAAATCAGGATCCTAGGAGACGCCACTCTAATTTATTCGTTCTACATGCAATGGATTTGTTACTATCGGCAAATCTCAATAACTTAAAACCAAAAAAGTTAGCACATTTTTCTAAATTCTGTCTCTATTAACAAAACAATGTTATCCGTAAGATTAGTAATCCAAAGTATCGATAGGTACAAATAAGTTATTGGGAGTTGCCAGTATGATATTATCAGACGTCAATTTATTATGCCAGAAATGTCAAACTGATTCAAGTCTTGATGATGAATTACCTAATTAATCTGTCAGTACGAAAGTGTTGACATTTTTTGCCTTTTGGTATAAATCAGAATTATTATTAATGTAATGTCATCATCATCATCAGTTTTGTTAATATAGTTTTAATTAAGACTTAATAAAATTAATGTAATTTAGTTTTATTTTCTTTAATAAAAGTCATGAATATGCATAATATTGTTTTAATAATATAAGTAATTTAACATGGAATAAAATATATTATTTACAACTTATCTTAATTATTTTGACATGGATACCATTGATATTTCTATACCTTATGACAAAGATTTCATGAGTTTTCGTTACTTACATACTTTAGGTAAGAATTCTCAGTAATATGTTGTCATTTGACTTCATTTTACATCGCCCCCATGCTTCCAAATAACTTTCAGACAGAATATTCAGCTATGACAAATTGACATAACTAACCGCCAAATATGAAACAAAAATGGCGGAAGACGTACGCACATGCGCAATAAAGTATGCGTATTATTAGTACAATATTACCGAATATAACAATTCCTTATAGCCACAATCATATCCGACGAAAAACATCCATGACATTATTAATAATTAACTAAGAATAAAACAAAAACATATAAAAAAAAACATTTGTTCTGTGTTTTTCAGACCGTTTTTCCGTACAAACACTGGTGTCACTGATCGTTAAATCTTAAGTTATTGACAATAAATAGGGATGGCGACAAAAAAAGGTTATCTTTCTTTTTGTACGATTTTGGTCGCCAGATACTCAACGTCGTAACTAGGTAGATTTTAATAGACACTAAAATTTGAGAAGGGTCCCAACTTTTAGGTGTTTTTTATAATCAAGAAAGATAATTGCTTTAATCCACAAAAATATACATGACCAACATTTATTGTTAACTGACATACAACGTCCTCTTTTCTCATCATCCATTAGCACATCCAATGTCGTCGCGTATCAGCCTCCGATCACATGCGCACATGGAATTTGCCAGCTTTCGTAACATACTTGACTCCTTTGAACGGCTTATACTTGGCGCCATACATGTCCAGGCGGCTAACTCTCAGCCCACTGACCGCTAGTTGAGGGATCGTGAAGTGGACGTTGATGCTCGGATTCGCTCCTGTGGTGTCCGCTCCTGTTGCTACTGAAACCTGTAAGAAATTTTACGCAATAATACAAATGTACGAGTGTACGTATAATTTTTTTATACGCAAAAAGGTTGACGGGTTGCTTGATCAGCCATTGGCACCAGCTATCGCAACACTAGAATAGTTACTTACAATATTTTACCAAAACCTCCCAGATTAGTGCAGACTCATCCACGAGTATGAATAGAAACTTAACGAAGTTGGTTTGCAAGAAACGCAGTAGTTATCACTCTTTAAATTCTGCCTGAACACAGAAAACCAAGTAATTTTTAACTGACTTCAAAAAAAGGAGGTTTTCAGTACGACGATTTTTTATTCACAATTTGCATTTTGTTTGTATAAAACAAAGTCGCTTTCTCTCTCCTTATGTCTCTATATGTATGCTTAAATCTTTAAAACTACGCAACAGATTTTGAATGGGTTTTTAATAGTTACTGATTGAGTGAAGAGGAAGGTTTATATGTACCTATATCGTTCTTTAAGTAGTGGAGAAATTTAGTATCAGCATTGCTCCCTTGCGAAACGGGCGCAGGTCGCTAGTAGGAAATAAAAAAATATACTCACAGTTCCTCTAATATTTGGCAGTTTCGGTAATTCAATTCTTCCTATATCCCATAGCAGCACCTTGCTAACAGGGTCGTAAGAGTATTTTCCTTGATTCGCGGTCAAAGAACAGTTCAAAACACATTTAGGCATACAGATCTCCAATGATACATCTGGAACAAGTAGACATATTCATAAGAAAGTAAAAAAATCTGATTTTTCATAACATCGGTCATACTTTTTCCCACTGCACATGCTTATTAGATCAATGTCTGAATTCCGAAATAGTAATATTCAGCTAAGCGTATGAATTTAATATCAGAAGCGTTAGTCTCTGAAAACTACCATACAATTTCGGCATTTTTTGTTTGTAGATGGGTGAATTAATTGGATGTTATCGCGCGTTGCAAAAGGGCGAAGACAGAAAAAATTAACAGAAAAGGTTGTTACGACACTTTTTGCTATCTCTCTGTCTCTTTCTTTCATAAAAAGCAAGCCAGTTATTTTCGTTTCGTCTTTCTATTTCGCATTGAAAAATGTGGTGTCGCAATGATTATTTATGTTGTGTGTATAGGTAGAGGTTTTTCTTTAATTTACATTATATGTAATTGTTAAATAATCATAAAATAATAATTCCAATTCTTTTTTAGATTTATAAGTGTAAAAATCGGAAAGTTTTTTTTAATACATACTATATAAACAATCTTATGATTGTGGCGAAATTATTGTAATATCTGACGAAAAGAACACATTCTTACTTTCTAAAGTGCGTCCCATAGTTTGTTTAGGTCCAACGGTGAGGTCCAACCGGCCCTGGTCCCCATTGGACCGGAGCGTGAGGTTGTGGCGCACATACATCGGTATCGCGACCACGCTCTGAGATCCGATGTGATACGACATGAGACGGAAGTTACCGTCCGGCGGGATGAACGAAAGTATCCTCTCAGACTGGAACAGATAACAGAGATATGCGCTTTGAAGCAGGAATTTAAATAAGTAGGTATTAGTTGTATTGGTATTTGGCTGATGTGTTTGTAAATTTTGTAAAATGATAGAATAAATAAATAGTATTTAGTTTTATCTAGATAAAACTAGACTTATAGGTATAAGTCTCAACAACAATTCTACAGACAAATATTTACGAGTTCCGAGCTTAACAGCAATACTAAGCATATTATAAAATTATTAGGTGTGCAAGATTATTTACAAGAAACAAATACAGACAGTAAACAATGACTTAACCAAGGTAATACTGAAGTCAATTATTCATCTGTGCATCAACAAATATTTACCAATAAGAGATAAGGCATAAAAACATATTTACACCAATAGATAAGAATGAAGTATCAGTTTACTAACCTCCCACCGTTTAAATCTGACACATGGATGGAATGAGACATCATCAAACAGGCGAGGATTTACAAAAGTAAGGGTCAGATCTGGCATCCCACTTAACTTTATGCAGCAGTCAATCTGAAATTATTATATGTACTTATACATAATATTAAATTACGAGTAACAAATTTTACCTCTAATATAATACAATATAAGTATAGATAAATATTTTTAAATAGGCGAAGTTACGTACATAACCCTGTATTTCGGCGGACACAGTAGCACCACTTTTATCAATAATGGCGTCCACTTCTTCAACGACATCGAAATAAGCCTCGTTATTAGCGTACTTGACACCGGAACGACGCCACGGCACGTTCGACAATTGCCCAGAAGGCAGTGTTGAAGACACACTGTAAATAAATAATACATAAAAATATATAAATCTTAGACTTGTGTACTGCCAGCACACTAGAAAAAGTGTTAACACTAAGCTGGAATATCTAGTATATTAGTAGAACTATTTTCCCAATTTATATACATAATACATCAGAAGATGTTAATTAAAACTGTTTTTTTCAACCTCATTTGTTTATTTCATACGTACCCAGATAGTTATACAAAAACACAACATAATAGTCATTATTCATTGACCTGATTACAAATATATTTCATTTTAGTATTTTTCTTGCAAGTTTAACACATTCAGTGCCCCCGACGCGTATGTGCGTGCGAGGAAACGCACATACGCGTCGGGGGGCACTGAAGACAGTAAGTATGTTCTAGGACGCAAAAAAAAATAGGATATCGCAACTTGCTACTTCATGCAATATTCATAGAACATCATCGTTTTTGATGTGATTAAAAAAGTATTAAATTTTGATAGTCAAAAAAGTCAAAAAGTCAAAAATCATTTATTCCAATTAGAAACTTACAGGCACTTTTGAATGTCAAACAAAATTTTGAAGATATAGTGTCAGTCTGTCGGTCAGTCCTCTTAGTAAAGCTATTTGTTTGTTCCAAAGTGTAGATTTGACTAGCCTATTAAAATGATAATTCTTTATTTCATATTACTTACTTTGATTTGCCAGTAACAGTATTAGCAATAGTCCTTAAAATATTTGGTGGTTTAATCAATTCCTTTAAGATATTGCTCTCTGTGGCCAGGGGGAAGCCATTGTCAAGCATCTCATCTAACAACTGCAATGTATAAAGAATAAATACATCACTATTTCAAATACATTACAAATTAGACCTTTTATGGTGGAAAGAAACATACCTCATAAACTACAACATAGTTCTCTTTAATTATAGTCTCAGTACAGTCTGAAAAGTAATCCTGAAAGAAGATAAAAAAATACTATCAAACATACTAAATACATAATCATGTTTGAACACTTGTTCCTTAAATATGAATATTTACATTACATGCATATGTAATGTTGAATTACCATGTGGAAATATTAAATATAAATTGTTTTTAACATTGTCATCAGCCTTCAGTATACAGTTTTCACCCACTTTTTTCATTTTTTATTATGGGTTAGGTCAATAAACATGCAATGGGATTACATGATGTAAAGCAATTGGCGCCACACACGGAGTTACGAGTGCATTGCTGACCTTTTGGGGATGAGGATTTTGGATATTTAAGGATTGCGAAGAAATGGGGAGAGGGATTAGGAGCCTCGGGCAGCTTCACTTACAAGGCAAAAAATAACACTTTGGTCCATATGGCCAAAATAAGAACAAACTACATAAGTAGTTTTTGTAGTAGTTATTGCTTACAAAGAGACAGATACTTAGATGCTGAAGAAAAAGTTTTATTATATTAAGGGATTTTTTAATGGTTAGATAAAAGTTATGTGGGAAATAATTTGTATGCTGTTGTGTCAGAATGTTTGTACATAACAATTTTATTCCTCAGATAAAATATATCTGACTATTGAAAAATCAGCCCTTAGCCCTAAAAAAGTATATAAGGAGATTTATTCTTACTTGGAATGTATCAACAACTCTATGCAGGAACTCAATCACAAAGAGTGGAGCTACTTCCTGCATGCACACAGCAACAAGAGCTACCCCACCTCTTTGTATTGATATCAAATAGTGATGAGGTGCCGCCAACACTGGAGGAACATCCTAGAAAAAGGTACTATTAAACTTCTTGTTATTTTGTAAATATTAATGGTTAGGTAATTAGAAACTTATGTAACATTTCTATTCTTTTTACATACTACTATATTATGTTCTTGTTCTATAAATACATACATTAGGAGATGCCCTCTGTGCTTCCAAATAATAGTCACATACTGATCTTGGCACCACACTTCTCCAATGCTTCTCAAGAAATACATCCCTGAAAATGTATTAATTTTCCTTAGTACTGCAAATCTGCATAGCTGTACCAACAGTATTTGCTACGGCAGATGTACTGCATTTTGTCACTGACACTGAGTCAAGTATTTCATCTATTATGAAGGAGTGTGATACTACGTAGGTACACTCCTTCACAGAGTAGCTCTTGGAAGAAAAATTCATAAAGATATATTATAGGATATTAGTAAAAACACACTTGGCAGAACACATATTTATTACTTGACGTTCTCTTGTCAACTCAAAAAAAGAAAATTCAAAATACTGTCATAAAATGCATAGAGATTAAAAAAAGGTCGCAATACTCTTGCTCTAACACTCCTCCTTAATCTCATGCATATGATATGTACACACACATCTTTACTTTATACACGCAATCCCATACCATTCACACACCACTCATACTTGCCTCTGGGGAGAGCCTTGGTCAGAGCATCTGCTACCATCTTATCTGTTTCCCGATACTCCAATTTTATAGCTCCCGACTCAACAGCATTGCGTATAAAATGATATCTCACATCAACATGTTTTGTACGTTGGTGATGTACAGGATTATTGGCTATAGCAATTGCTGACTGGCTGTCTGAGAAAATCCGAATTGTTTCTTCCTGTTTACCAGTCATCTCTGCAATCAGCCTTTTGAGAAAGACAGCTTCTTTTGCAGCTTCTGATAGCGACACGTATTCTGCTTCGGCTGTGCTCATAGCCACCGTTCGTTGTTTCGTGCTTTGCCAAGAAACTGCACCTCCTTGAATAAGGAACACGGAACCTGAATATGAACGTCGATCAGCGTCTCCTGCATAATCGGCATCCGCGTAACCAACAACAACTTCTGGGTATTTTTGTTTGTTGTATGTCAACCCAAGCGTCTTGCTTCCTTTCAGGTAACGGAGGATTCGCTTTGCTACAATCCAATGTTGTTCCTCATAGCATTCATTGAACTGGCTAAGATAATTAACCACATGAGCAATGTCAGGCCTTGTACATACTGCTACATACATGAGCGAACCTATCAGTGCTCGATATGGAATTCTCTCATCTGGTCTCCTTCCATGTGTAGGCTTCTCTAGCCGTTGACCGGGTACTGCTGGTGTAACTACTGGTTTGCAGTCTTCCATATTAAATGCCTTCAGGAGTCCATCAATATACTTCTCCTGATGCAGTTTAATTTTGTTGACATCTTGAACAATATTAATTCCCAGCATTAACTCAGCTTTGCCGAGATCTTTCATATCAAATCTAGACTTCAACTCTTCTTTGAATTTGAACATCTCTTGCTTATTGTTCCAAAATATCAAAATGTCATCTACATACACAGCAATAATCATTATGTTTCCATTCTGTGACCGGGTGTAAACGCATGGCTCATTTTCAGATCTTCTGAACTTCAGTCTTATAAGTTCAGAGTGAAGCTTTGCGTTCCACGCTCGTGGCGCTTGTTTCAGTCCATACAAAGATTTTTTTAGAAGACAGACATAATTCTCCTTGCCCTTTACCTCGAACCCCTCTGGTTGCTTCATATAGACGATTTCATTTAAGTCTCCATTCAAAAATGCCGTTTTAACGTCCATTTGATCTATGCCTAACTCTAAACGGGCGGCTAAGGCTATTAAGACTCTTAATGAGCTATGTCTGACTACAGGCGAAAAAGTTTCAAAGTAGTCGACTCCTCTCCGTTGGCTGAATCCTCTTGCTACAAGTCGTGCCTTATAACGAGTCTTTCCCCCCGCCTCTTCTTTAATTCGAAATAACCATTTCGAATCAACAATGTTGCACGACTTTGGCTGCTTCACCAACGTCCAAGTTTTATTCTTCTCGAGGGCTCTCAGCTCCTCCTCAATTGCGGCTTTCCATTTGTCTCCATCTTCTCTAGATAATGCATCCTGAACAGTTAAAGGGTCTGGCGATGCCTTGACTGCTTGGTAAGTTACAAAATCTGGATATGCTTTTGGTATTCTTTCTCGAAGCGGATATCTTCTATCTGATGGCCCATTGTCATTTACTGGTAGCTCTCTACCTTCTTCTACAAGACCATCCTCAGGATCTGCTTCATTCCCCTCGTCAGATGATTCCCAAACCTCATCTTCAACCTCAACATTCTCAAGAGCTGGATTTCCAGGTTCTTCAGGAATTTCTGGCTCTTCATGATGAGTTGAAACTCTATCATACTCAACCGTAACATCCGTCAGCGGTAGCGGGACGGCTTGATTAACGGGAGCACGTAGCTGTACTTTTGAGTTTTCAAAAAATATAACATCTCTACCTCTGTGCAACACTCCTGTCGTAGGGTTAATAAGGCGATAACCGTTTTCGCCATATCCAACATGGACTAACTCTGTGCCCTTAGGATCCCATTTTGTGCGCTTCTGATCTGGAACATGAAGATAAGCTTTACATCCAAACACTCTGAGGTGGCTTAAGTTCACTTTTCTTCCAGTCCAAGCTTCTTCGGGCGTTTTGTTTCTCAAGGCTTTAGTTGGAGACCTATTTTTTAAATACACGGCGGTGTTGACTGCCTCTGCCCACAATTTTCTGCCTAAACCAGCTTCTTCTAACATTGTCCTGGCTTTTTCAGTGATAGTTCTGTTAGCTCGCTCAGCAACTCCGTTTTGTTCGGGTGTATACTCTATTGTCAGTTGGTGACAGATCCCTTTTGCTTTACAGAACTCATCCATACGCTTATTGACAAACTCTTTGCCATTATCAGATCTGATAATTTTAAATTTCTTTCCAGTTTGACGTTCAGTAAGTTTTACGAATTCGGCAAACTTCTCAAAGACCTCTCCTTTACTTTTCAAGAAATATACAAATGTTTTTCTAGTGAAATCATCAATGAATGTGAGAAAATATCGTGAGCCTCCGTACGACTTCTCTCTCATGGGTCCGCACACGTCTGTGTGGACTAACCCTAAGACCTCACTTGCCCTAGTGGCACCAGTTTTCTTGAAAGGGTTCTTGGTCTGTTTTCCTACTGCACACGCTTCGCACTCTAGCTTAGAAGCAGTATTAGAAAAACTTACCCCATCTGCCATTTTGTTTTTAAGTAACATTAGGTTCCGTACCCCTAGATGTCCCATTCGCCTATGCCACAATATTATTTCGTCAGCAGCGGTTGAAGCTAGACCTACTTCCTGTGAACAATACTGTATTTTATAGACACCGTTATTTGCAGTACCTTCATACAAGGTCTCCCCGGAAACCTTACATCCATCTGCTTTGATTATCTTAAAGCCAGATTTCTCAAATACAACTACAAGGTTTTTATTTACAATTGTGCTAACACTGAGTAAATTTGTAGCTAAGTTAGGTACATATAAAACATTATTAATTGAGACGTCCATATCCTCGTTGACTACATTACCAATTGCTTCACCAACCACAGTTTCTCCATTTGCACAAGCTATTACAATTGATTTGTCTAATTTCTTAAAGTCTTTAAGCCAATCTCTCCGATTTGTCATGTGGTTAGAAGCTCCGGAGTCGAGAATCCATTCTCCATGTCCTTGTGCTGCTGTTGCTAACGCTAATGAGGTTAAGGCATCCTTCTTTTGAATAGGGTTTTTCGGACAATCCTTAGCCTTATGGTTCTCTTTGCATATGAAGCACTTAACGACACGTGATCTACTCATATTCTTGTGTGACTTATCTTTCTGACTTTTATTTTTAGCTTGTAATGCGGTTGTCACGGTACTAGGACTTGCTTGATAAGTATCCTCCATCTGAAGTAATTTCGTTTTGACGTAATCTGTAGTCAATTCTATGTTTGTGTTTTCTATTGCTAACCTCATGGGTTGGAAAGTCTCTGTCAACCCCTGTAGCATCAACGCTGCAAGTAATTCATCATCTACCTTTTTGCCCAGATCACGTAGCTGTTGCGCTACTGTCATTATGGCAGTTATGTAGTCTCTGATTGAAGAAAATTGCTCTAGTTTCAGGCTCACCAACTTTGTAAGAAGTCTGCATCGATTATTCAGGCCCTTGTCTTCAAAGGCAGTCTTCAGGGCATCCCATGCCGCTTTTGCAGTCTTCGATTCACGTACGTGTATCAAACAATGTGGTTTAATCATTAAACAGATTTTTGCCCTCGCTTTCTGATCTCTTTTAGAGCCGGAAACATCACTAGCAGCTGGTGTTGTTTGAGTGTATTCCCACAAGTCTTCATGAATTAGATAAAGTTCCATCATGAACTTCCATGTATTATAATCAGTACTACCATCAAGTTTCTCTATTGCTGGTAAACTCATACTTACTCCTTGGGATGGATACGATTGTGATTGTATATGCGTACCATTGCCGCTGCTCCCAGAGTTATTCATGATCGTACTTTCTATTTCCGCTGGTGATCATAACCTGAAGGAGTGTGATACTACGTAGGTACACTCCTTCACAGAGTAGCTCTTGGAAGAAAAATTCATAAAGATATATTATAGGATATTAGTAAAAACACACTTGGCAGAACACATATTTATTACTTGACGTTCTCTTGTCAACTCAAAAAAAGAAAATTCAAAATACTGTCATAAAATGCATAGAGATTAAAAAAAGGTCGCAATACTCTTGCTCTAACATATTATTCTGTGTACTGAAGAGTGTGTATAAATAAGATTATTTGCTTTGAGGTAACTTTTAATAAAAATTAGAGCAGAAGTAGAACTTAAGTTGATAATTTTATTGTGCTTACAAATAAACCTAAACCTCTGCCTAAAAAGAAATTACAAGACATAGTGTTAAACCACAATGATTATAAAAATATCGATGTATAGTAAATACAGATGTACATTTTAATTAAGATCAAATCAAAGATTGACACTATACAAAACAAGTTATTTTTAATTTACCTACTTAAAACCAAACGACAGCAAATACATACCCAGATGGATTTATAATAAATAAACTGTGAATCATTGTAGCTTTATACTCCTAGCGACTGTAATAAAATTAGAACTGTCAGAGATTAAATAAATTGTATGTTTATTGTTTTATCACTTCAATACTTCGACATTTCCACTGTATTTCTTTTCAATTCTGCTTAGATTTTTACATTTCCCGACTACGGACCAACTTTTACTTCAAAACCATTTGACAGCAATGACAGTCAACTGACGTCAATGCCTGTACAATTGTATTCTAGGGATGTTTAAACTATAAATTAGATTATTGAATCGATTACTTTTATGTAGTTTTATTAATTCAATTTTATTGCTAAAAAAATCGATTTTGTTGACTAGTCAAGTGCTAAATAGTATAACTTCATGGATGGGGTAATAAGTAGTTATTTTACTATCCTGAAATTTTATAACATATTGGGTTAAGTTCGCCTATTGATCATTACTAAGTGGTTTTTCTCTCTAGCTTCTGTATTTAAAAGTTTCTTGTTTTTCTTTACGTCTATAAAATTATCGTCACTATAAAATTACAGGCAGAATTTCTGTAAAGTCATCTACTTCATCTACTACTGTGTTCTATGCGAATAAATGTTTCTTTCTTTCTAGTTTGTATTATTTATATTGATCAAATTACTTTTTTTCACGTAACACACATTTTGTTTATTTCTTAATGGTCGGGAAAAAAATTATCAAATATAGTGATTTATCAATTGTTAATAATATATAATTGACTAAATTACTTTATTGAAGTATTATAGGGAAATCATAATATTTAAATCGATTATATATTACATATCGATTTTTCAACACAGCACTAAACATTAGCCTCAAGCAATATTGTTTTTACGAGCTATCAATGTACACGTGGTTGCAGACGACATATAATATGAATGAACTCAACCACTAAACAAACCTACATTTCATTTTCGTGTTAGCATTAACATTACCTACTGAATAACCTAATTTAAAACTAAGTAGTTACTTGTAACTCCTTAAAAGTCAATCATACAAGTTAAATGGCTATTATTTAGACTTACTAATATTATAAAAAAGAAAGTTTGATTACTTGTTTGTTTGAATTGAATACTTAGGCTCTGAAACTTCTTGACTGATTTGAAAATCTTTACTGCTAGCAAGCTATTATATTAGTGTTGAACGTAATATAAAGGCTATAAACTACCTACGCGAATAAAATCGTGGGGCACAGCTAGTATTATGTAAATAAGCTTCCATTTTAAGTTAGTAAAACAAAATACATTTCAGTACTTTGTTGTAGGAAGAAAAATCAAAATAGGTATTACATACCTACATCAAGGAAGGACAAAAACAGCATACATCATTGTTAAGTACCAACTAGAACAGATTACTAAGAGTCCAATTTAACTGTTTATCATACTGAAATCTAAATAATGATCAACAAATAAAATGCTAATTATTGTCACAATATGGATAGGTGAATTATAACAAATTGATCCAGAATAGTTTGTTACAAGGGCTGTTAATAAAATAAAACCAAAGAATTCTGACTTTTTTTTTATTGAGACATGTCTTAAAATAAAGTTTTTAACGGTTGGACTTAGCAACACGCTCCAACTCATCCTTCTTCTTGATGGCATAAGAGTTTGATGAACCCTTGGCTGCGTTGATAAGTTCATCAGCAACGCACTCAGCAATAGTTTTAATGTTCCTGAAAGCCGCCTCACGGGCACCTGTGCACAACAACCAGATTGCCTGGTTTACACGGCGCAGAGGGGAAACGTCCACGGCCTGACGACGCACTGTACCGGCACGACCGATCCTAGTGGAGTCTTCACGGGGTCCAGAGTTAATGATAGCTGTCACAAGCACCTGCAGAGGATTCTCACCAGTCAGCAAGTGAATGATTTCAAATGCGTGCTTTACAATTCGGACAGCCATAAGTTTTTTGCCATTGTTACGTCCGTGCATCATCAGAGAGTTGGTCAGACGCTCGACGATGGGGCATTGAGCCTTACGGAATCTCTTGTGTGCATACCTGCCAGCGGAGTGAGGCAAGTATTTTGCGTACTTCTCTTTGACTGAGATGTAATCCTGCAGGGACATGTCAGACACCTGAACATCATAGCAGCTCCACCTTCCAAACAGCTTGATTTCAGGAATGTCGGCGGCGAGCGGCAGGGGCGCGCTGTCAATAGCCATGCTGCCCGCTTCGACACTATCATCATTCCAGTTTTCTTCAGCCATTATGATGCCTACAAATAAACATTCACAAATTAGTATTTAGCACAAATGATAAAACCACATAAATATTCACTTGTTTTAAAATAAATACATACTTTTTAAAGCACAACAGCGATTCTAACCTCGTGTTGTCAAAAGAACACGAGAAAAAGGAAGTTCATCGAGGCCTGGAGGTTGGCATTACAGCTTTGGTGTTACCATATGACGAAACATCATTCTTCTATTAATGCTTGTCTAATGTTTTTATTCCATAACTATATTAAAAATATCTAGTAATAAAAGAAATATTTACGGAGGAAAAACGTCTATAAATTTACATCATTAAGTTGCTATGCAACCAGGTGAAAAAATCGAAATATCTAAATATCTCGAATACAATTTCCACGATTCCACCTAATAACTAATCCGCAAAGGCTTTGTTTTTTTTATTTAAGCAGTATCATCACTCTCCTTTTTGGAACTGTTGAGTGTTGAAGGTGTGAATTTTAGTAACCTTAAATTGAATTAAAATTAATCTAACAATTAGTAGGACGGTGTATAGGTAACATTATAAAAAAAAAAACAAATATTAACTTGTTTCTAACTACTATTATTTTACTATATAGGATTAAATATTATATTCTAAACAACTATCATTTATATAATTTTCATAAAATACTGATTTAATTTAAATATTTTAAATTATAAAAATATTTTCATGACATACCAAAAGTAAATTTGACATTTCTCTTATCAATTTATCACCGAAACGAAATTTTATCTGACTTATCGTACGTATGTCAAAAACCTAATCCAATTTCGTTTCCTTCGGTTCGTAAAACTGCGCTAGCGCTAAAGTAGTTAGCGCCGCTGTTTTTAGTGATTAATATCTAGCTTTTCCGCCTATTAGAATAACTGGTTTATTCTAGTATTACACGGTGAAGTGGTTTATATCATCAATTTATTCTAAATCGAAAATAATCAAGTGTTATATAGGTTAATTTGTGTAAGGACTCTGGACAAAGTTCGCTATGGCTGCATTGAAGAAAACGAAAAATCTAAAACTCCTCACCGGCTTAGTGCCTAGATATTGTCCTCAAATCACAGCTAGAAGAAACTTAAATCTGCAAGAATTCCACAGCAAGGATTTGTTAAGGAAGTTTCAAGTTTCTATTCAAGACTTTCGAGTAATTGATTCTAAATTGGACTCCAAACCTTTGGCGGATTTTAAAGTTGATGAGTACGTTGTTAAAGCGCAGATCCTAGCCGGTGGTCGCGGTAAAGGTCATTTCGACAATGGTTTTAAGGGAGGCGTTCACATTACGAAAAATCGCGATGAAGTTTTCAAACTGGCCAAAAATATGATTGGACACAAATTGATCACGAAACAAACGCCTAAGGAAGGAATACTGGTGGATAAAGTGATGGTTGCAGAGAGTGTTAACATCAAGAGGGAAACATACTTCAGCATAGTAATGGAGAGGTCTTATGATGGTGCTGCTATTGTGGCCTCCCCTGCTGGGGGTATGGACATTGAAGCAGTAGCAGAGAAAACCCCGCACTTAATAAAAACCCTGCCTATTGATATCTATGAGGGTATCACAGATAAGATGGCCAATGAAGTGGCAGAGTTTTTGGAATTTAAAGGAGAACTTAAAGCAAAATGTGCTTTAGAACTGCAAAAACTTTGGAAATTGTTTTTAAGTGTATGTATGGATTTCAAAATAATAAAAAAGAATATATACAATGCCTTTGAACTATATATTAATTTATTTTTTGTTTCTATTTTTCAGGTGGATGCTACTCAGCTAGAGATTAACCCTCTAGTGGAGACTGACGATGGAAGGGTTATCTCAGTTGATGCCAAACTCAACTTTGATGACAATGCTAGCTTCAGGCAAAAAGATATCTTTGCCCTTGATGACTTATCAGATAGTGATCCTAAAGAGGTAAGCCAGTAAGAATGTAGTTAGTACCTCAGAATTAATGATTTGCAGATACAAAGTTTGACATGTACAGTGTACTGTATATTCCAAATATTTGATCTTAGATTATAAGAGAACTAGAAGCAGATACTAAAAGCAAGGATATTAGGACAAAAATCTGTCTTGAGCCATGATGATTAATGCTCAAATGTCCGTATGAGAAAAGGCTTTGCTCAGCAGTGAGCACTTATTGGCAGATGAAGTGATGTGTGTAATGTATATAGAAATGATTGTTAACCAGCAGCAATTGCAATAACCTACTAAATTTTCATGTTGACATTCAATTTATCATTGTTCAAGTATTTAGTGTAAATAATGGATATTTCTTTATCACAACCTTATCACTATAACCTCTGTTATCTTATTTTTGTCTTGTTGCTATTTTCAACTGAGATAAATGTTTTGGATGGAGATTGTATGTGACACTGTAAAAAAATTACATACAATTCAGTCACTCTAGCTTCTACCAGTGACTTCACACACAATACCAGTATAATATGCAGCCTATGAGTTATTCTTTACTAATTTCCATCTCAGTGTGAAATTTCATTAAAACCTGAATGTGTGAAAGAGTATAAATACATCATCACCAACTTGTGTATTAATAATATTAGACTTTATCATAATAAAATTTGATGATATGTTGACCTACATAAAATAAAAATGTAGAAAAAAAGGCTCAGAAGAGACTCGGGCAAACTCAATGAATTATTCAAAGTACAATTTGAGGACTTTTTGCTTCCTTAATATAACATCACATTTTTAAAAATTTATAACTTTTGTTTTCAGAGAGAAGCTGCTGCTCACAACTTGGTGTACATTGACATGGATGGCAGTATTGGATGCATGGTCAATGGAGCTGGTCTCGCCATGGCTACTATGGACATCATCACTCTAAATGGAGGAAAGCCTGCAAACTTTTTGGATCTTGGTGGAGGTGTTGGACCAAAACAAGTATCAATTGCACTCAAGATTTTGGAATCAGATCCAAAAGTGAAATCAATCTTTGTCAATGTGTTTGGTGGTAAGTTTGTATAGACTTAAAGTTATTTTATTGTTCTCAATACCTACTCTTAGCACTGTTATCCTATGTATTTTGTTTATTTCAGGAATAGTCAATTGTCTTACAATTGCTCAGGGTATCATCACAGCATGCAAGGAGAATCCACCTAAACATCCTCTAGTAGTCAGATTGGAAGGAACTAACTCAGATGCAGCCAGAAAACTACTTGAAGAATCAGGCCTACCTTTTAAGATTGTCCAGGATGTCGATCAAGCAGCTAAAATGGCAGTTAGCCTTGGACAATAAGACAAATGTTAAATTGAAAAATTGGAAAGACAATTCTTTGATTTACATTTAAATGCAAACACACGAAAACCATGACTGTTCCGAATTTTAAAAATGTGCATACCACAGATTACTGTTAACTAGTCAGTGCATACTGCATTGAGTATTATGCGCGCACTTGAAAAAGAGTTAGAAATATTTTTTCTTTATGAAGGGGGAGTAATAATAACACCTTTGAGGAATTAGTTCTGCCAGTAGCCTGTTTGTCTGTAAACAATGTAGTGCCTAGCATACTGTAAATATGTACTTATATTGTACATTGCCACTTACTAAAAATATTTTAGAAGACTGACTTTTTGTTTTAACCTGCTAATAAAATTAGAAATATTAGTACTTAAGTACTTGTGTTTGTGTAAATCAAATATATTGCCATGAATTATGTTAATGTTTTGTATATAGTTTATAATACATAGCACAAAGTAAAATCCTGTTTTAATAAAAGTCATTGTTAAAAAATGAATATCTTTATTGACAATTTAAATCTACAGTACAATTATAATTCCAGATAGTGTACTAATATATTAACTATGCGCGAAACAGATTAAGTTTTCTTCCTTGGCTTGTATCACTTTTGACATTGGAAATGTTGGCTTGAATTTCTTCATAAGCAGGAAGGTGTGCGAGTTTTCCACGAGCTGCAACTGATGGCTTCGAACTTAGCATTCGTTGTGCAACACGAATTACATCATCTGCTGTTATTTTTTCTAAAGAATAAAAAAAAAGCGATTTAAAAAAGAATCAAAGTAAGGTTTTCGTATACATAAGCATAAGAGAGCCATATACTTCATCAACTTTATACTTTTTTTTGTCAGGGGAAAATCATCTAATGACTTCTCCCGCCCAGGGTAAGGCGAGAGAGAGTGTCAGACTCTTACTGACTAAAAACCCCCCGTTCCTTCTCCTGCTCTGGGCCGAGGTCGCGCAACCCCAACTTTATTTTATACTGGATTAGCGAAGTTTGTCGCGACAGTAGGCGCGCATGTTTATAGTTATAGGGCTCTGGCGTGATGATGAATGGTTACGTGAGTAAACCTGATCCTTATTAAAGTATCTATTCCTATTAGGTACTGTATAAGATTGTAACGCACCAATTTCATTAATGAAGAATGAAGGTGGCTTCCTTTTGCCTGTCGCAAGTACTTGTCGGCCGACATCTTCAAATACTACGGGTCTTGCTTCTAAATTCATCAATAACATAGACTGCAATTGCGTTTTCGCCCTCTGAAATAAATGGTTTAACATATTTTTAAATAATGTAACTTTTAATATCGAACTCGTCACTTTAAAACGAAGACAATTTTGTATGGTTAATAATGTTAAGTTAAATCTTACCCTTAGTTCTGTTTCGCCAACTTTGCCAGCCATGTTTGCAAGTTCTCGTGCGATTACTAGAGTGGTATCATAAATGCGATTCGGGGGTGAGGCAGCATGGATGCAGAACAATCCTGTATCGCCATATGCGTGATTGTATGCTGTTGCGTTGAACATCCAATGATATCTTAAAAAAAAACATTAAGTATATATATTGAATTTCAAGGTCTTCGCCTGTTATAAGTATCCTTAGTTTATCGTCGAAATTGTCCGCGCTTTTACTGAGAATTTCGAAAAAGTTATACAGCATAAAGCGAAATGTCTCGCCAGATTTTTTAATTGACCCGGTGATTCGGTTTGACTGATTCAAAGAAAATATTAAAGATTTGAAGGAGTACTACCTTACTTCTGAGTGGCAGAAATATTATAAACATAGTTACCTGTTCAGCACATTTGTGTAAAGTCGTGTGTACATTCCCTTGCCAGGGCCACCTGCTGAGAATGAGCCTCCACCACCCATCATCATGTTTAACACACATGTTGGCACAAAATCTGGGTCACTATGAGAACAACCTAAAAAAAATATGTTAATATTTAAACAAGTTTAAACAAGTAGTCAAATATTTTAACATGTGAGCTTTCAATTTCAGTCACAAGATTTTTATAAGTATCTAAGAGTACAATTCTTTTCTCCAACCAATAGTTCCTGTCAAAAAATAAGGCTTATCACCTTGATGTATAAAAATAATACAATAACAGGTACTCACTTTCTAATCCAATAACAACATGAGATAATTCTGGTAAATCAGATCCTGGATACAGAGGAATTTCACAATCATCCTAAAACATTTAATTCAATTAACATTACTAGGTCACATAAGAGCTCATTTTTTATCACAAAATACAATCTACTTTCAAGCGTTACCTGTTGTATTCCTCCAGTGTACTGTGCAATGGAACGGTCAACATTAGGTTTAAATGTTTCAACTTCATCAACATGCCAAGTGGGCTTCATGTCTACAAAATATTTCTGGACAAATTCCACAAAGGGTTCATGATCCACCTAAAAAATATAAGTCAAGATTTAAATAAAATTCTGTGTATTTCCAACCACAGGTGAGCTGGCTGTTCCTACATTTTTTTACTTCAAAATTATAATTCCAAATTCAACATGTCTGTAATAAAATCATTATGTAAATCTAAATTGCAATAGTCTTAATGAGGGCAAACAATATTGCCGGAAAATGATTATTGTATTATCAAGAGTATTTTATCTACTATTTAATTTACTTACACCAACTGCTGCTACTACCATCCTATCAGGTGTGTAGTGGTTCTTCAGGTAGTTCAGAATAATATTGCGGTCTATCTTGTTGACATTCTCACTTGGGCATATCTTAGGTAGTCCAAGAGTGTTTCCTCTGTATGCAGCCTGTAACAAAATATCTTAATTTAAGTATGGCCATATTTCTTTTTCACATTATTTCTATTGGTAATATTTGAGTGTGTGTTAATGAAATCTTGTAACTAAAATTTGAAGCAGATGTCTTCAAACAATCAACTGAAATTTATATACTTGTTTAGTTTGCAACACCAAGCTAAGCTATATGTTCTCAAGTATTTAGTCCCAGTTGTATTAACCCAACAGCTAAAAGAAAATATTTTGCTCTTTCATTTACATACTAACAATTTTTCACCATAGCAAACATTTTAGGTCATACATCAGTTTTAAGATTATGTTACTTAATATTATATCCTATTAATCCTTGATGAAGACTATATGTGATAATCCTAACTTAGATTATGTTACCAAAAACTTCATAGCTTATGTCAATATGATTTAAGATTATGTTTACTTACCATGTGGATCATATCCATCAATATTGTCTCCTGTTCAGGTCTCATAGACAATGTTTCCAGCTCAAAAGCAACAGCCTGTCTTGCTGACTCTATTTCATCTGCGGAAAGTTGGGGTCTCAAAGTAACTTCAGCCAAGACCTGAAAAAAAATTTCATTCCTTTTTTAAATAAACAAAAATAAATTTATTAATCTTTTTGGTAGTTGACAGCTTTGGTAGTTGTTGGTATTAAGCAATATTAAGGTATTAAGTAGTATACTAGGCTTAGCATTAGAATTTATAAGAAATTGTTTTACTTTACCTGAGTGACAGCCCCTAAGCCTCTAGAATCTGCACTGGTGGCATAAACAGTGGTGTCACGGGATCCCTGACAGTCACAAATACCTCCATGCCTCTCAAGCTCTCTGTGCATGACGTCTCGGGTGGCATATTTATGTGTGGCCTGTTTTGAAACAATAAATAATGTTTATAACAAATTTAAAAGAACTTCACACCTTCACTTGACCAAATCTATCTCCAGGTGAGGACAACATCAACACCAATAACTGAATTTATACTTACACCAAAGCTTAGCTTCTCAAGAAAATGACAAATGCCATTGGGATAAGCAACTTCATATCTTGGACCAGAATCAATGACCACTGAAACAATGATGCAATATCACATTAATACAATGACAACCCAAGTATAACCTGAGATATGTAACACTATCAAAGAGACTCACCACCAGCAGTACAAAACTGTCCAAATTTTTTCTCTGATGCCACTCTCAACCCATTGCTAAGCACAGTGACTTCTGTTAGAGCATCATCAGACTGAGCTGAAGAGTAAGCCACTGGCGGCAGATTTGGCATGGCTTCCGACAACGGGGGCAAAGGTGTAACATTGCCTCTGTTCACTGCTGCTGCTGTTATATCTATATCTTGACTGTAGTTTCTCACAGCCCATCTATTTGCAGTCAACCTAAAAGAAGTTTTCTCTATTAATTATGCAATTAATTGCGATTCAAATAACTTTTTTATAGGGCGAGCATTATGTTTTTTATCTCAAACCATTGAAGATTTCATTAGTTAAATCTCAGTAATACCCATACTATATGATGACACCGAAAAACAATGAAACTTACCCATTTTTCATAGAAAATAACCTACTAAAAAGGTGTTTCACTTCCATTACATGCGACATCCTCGCACAGATTTTAAGACGGAATATTTATTACAGAGTTGTATGTTATATTATAACTGATGAAAGAAATAGCAAGTTTTTTTAATTCCTTCGGATTGCAGATGGATGGCACAGGTGACACTGACAGCTAGCTGGACTGCTTTTTTTTATTATTTCGAGTTTATGGCCTGGATACAAGTTAGCTAGACTGCTATTTGTTATTTAAGTTGCCAGTAGTAAAAGACTAGAAAATGAAAACTGTATTTATTTATTTCTTACAAACACTTTCTTTACTAAATAATATATTATAAAGTAAAAAAATGCCCTGTTTTATAATAAGTAAGAGCGGACCTAATGAGTTAATATAAACTACCCTCTCTAGGGACCATCAGTTTGCCTTGTGAACGTGTCACTGAAAAATAGCATGTAAATGAAGTCGGTTAAAAATTGGACAGTATATGGTTAGCTTTACATTGATAACATAGACTAAACACTTGACTACTAGACTTTTGACATTGACATGAACTAGCTGACAAATAACAAATCATGACGTTACAGACTGCATGAGACATTGACATAGGAAATATTTTCTATCTCAATGGCATGAGACGTCGGATTGGACGACGAGAGAGAGAGACTGGGAGCATCCACAATCTCAAAATATATTGTTTTCACAAAAGTTTAAAGTTAACAAGAGAAACGAAATTTTAAAGATAAAATAAAAGAATGTATCTATACTTTAGTTAAATCTACTTCAACAATTTTTTCTGCTTACCACAAAATAATTCAAAATTAATAATGTAAACATTCAAGAAATCATTTGCAAATTTTTTATCCCACAGTTCGTTCATTTAAATTACAAATCACAATAGTCTGTGTCTGAAGTTTGAAGATTTGTGCTTTGAATAGAATAGGTATCTAAAATCAGACCCAAAAATGACTTTTAAATTGTTGAAGAGGGCTTTTAGTTCTTCGTCATATCGAAGTGGTCCCCAAGTATGTATTGTGGGTGCTGGACCAGCGGGATTCTATGCAGCGATGCATCTTACGAAGAAATTGGAGTCTGTTAATATTGATATATTAGAAAAGTTGCCAGTGCCCTTTGGACTTATAAGGTGTGTTCTAGTTAAAAAGGTTTATTTATTTATTGAATTATGGACAACCAGTAGCTGTTATTTCTTACATCTAAACATTAAATACATTATAATAAAATTAAATGTACAGCATTTTAAGGTGTCACAACATGCACAAGTTTAGTAAAACGTAAAAAAATATAGGTAGGTACATTTCATAAAAAACTTCGTACTTGTTCTTTCAGGTATGGTGTGGCCCCAGATCATCCAGAAGTGAAGAATGTTATAAACCAGTTCACCAAAGTAGCACAGCAACCTAATGTTAATTTCTATGGAAACATAACTTTGGGTAAAGATGTTCATCTGCATCAATTGAGACAACATTATGATGCAGTACTTTTGGTAATTATTTAGAGAATGAGATAACTTAATTAACTTGAGTCCCTGTTTTTATCTGGTTTCATAGTAGTCAAAGATTTCTTAATGATTTTAGTCATATGGTGCTGAAGAAGATAAAACCCTTGGTATAGAAAATGAAGATGCAACCAATGTTATTGCTGCACGGAGATTTGTAGGGTGGTATAATGGACTTCCTAGTGACAAAGATTTAAAGGTACATTTTGTACATGTGATGTTGCCAGTTGAAAAAGTTCTTGTAACTGTACTGACTGTGTTAATTTAATCATATCCTGTTACAGGTTGACTTATCTGGCCGAACAGCAGTTATTCTTGGTCAAGGAAATGTTGCATTAGATGTAGCAAGAATATTACTAATGCCAATTGACGAGCTGAAGAAAACTGACATAACAGAACATGCACTCTGTGCTCTGTCAGAGTCTAAATTAAAAGAAGTATATTTGGTAGGCAGAAGAGGGCCTCTACAAGTAGCTTTCACCATAAAAGAACTCAGAGAACAGCTGAAGTTGAAAAACTGTAGAACAATATGGAATGACAAAGATTTCATTGATGTGGACAAAATAGTGCCAGATCTACCGCGACCTCGTAAAAGATTGACTGAACTTATGTTGAAATCAGTAAATGAAAACCAAGCAGTAACTGATGATGATCAAACAAAGTATTTCAAACCGGTATTCTTTAGAAGTCCAAACAAATTCTTGGTTGACAATAACAACCACTTGACTGGAATTGAATTAACATGTACTAAACTTGTTGGAGATAAACTGGAAGAACAGCGGTGTGTGCCTACTGGTGAGAAAGACATAATCAATTGTAATTTAGCATTCAGGAGCATAGGTTACAAGAGTGTTCAAGCAGATAAAGATTTAATATTGAAACATGGAGTAGTAGAAAATAATAAGGGCATTGTTGAAGATAGTGCAGGCCTAGGAAAACTTTATGTAGCAGGGTGGCTTGGCACTGGACCAGTTGGTGTAATATTACATACAATGGGAAATGCATTCCAAGTAGCTAAAGTAATGCTTGAAAATTTGAGCAGCACTGACAACTTTAATAAAGGTGGTTTTACAGAAATAAAGAAAATAATCACCGAAAATAACAGCAATGTTATTGACTGGGGTGGTTGGGAAAAAATTGATAAGTTTGAAAAAGACCAAGGTAAAATAAAAGGTAAACCTCGTGAAAAGGTTTGCAGTGTGGAAAAGATGATTGAGTTAGCTAAGAAATAAGTGTTGTAAATTTAAACTTATATTTTGTTATTATTACTTATTATATTGTTTTTTCTTCACATATTTATTGAAATAGTTCTAAAAATACCAATTTAAAAATTAGGTAGTGTAAGTAAAAATTTATGTACTTACACTATATGAAGGGTAAATATAATATTTAAATGATTGTAATTTTTTATATACATATTTGTAAAGGTTTATTAAATAACTTGTTTTAACATGTGTTTAAATTACCTATTCAGTATTTTGTAGAAACATGCTTAAAAAGGTTGTTCAAATTACAATTAATTTTATGTCCATCAATCTTACCATGACTATAGGTCTATACACAGTACATTATTTTATAACAGTCCATTAGTGCCCACTGCTGAGCAAAGGCCTTTTCTCACACAGAGAAGGTTTGAGCATTAATCACCACGCTTGCTCAATGCAGGTGGACTATAAAAGGTGTTTAGCTCCATCCCTCTTTCTCGCCCGGAAGATTGACGCTTTAGTCATAGCTTTAGCACGTCATGGAGAGAGAAAACTGCTTACTTTCTATAGTAAGCAGTTTCCAAAATCTTAAAGGGAATGGTTCTTGTCTATTCGGGGAACCGTTTTCGGTCGTGTGCAAAATTAGGTAAAATAAAAGCGTATGTATGAACAAATTGCAAAATTTACTACGTTAGGCAATTTATTTTGCACAGACGCCTAAACCCAGTAGATAAGAACAAAGAGGTGACGGCCCAAAGAATACATAGTATTATAGTATAGGTACGAAGACCTCAGTAGTTATACTTATCTATGGCGTAAACAACTGTGCACTGTGACACTACTCGGCCCTGGAAGCCATTACGGTGGGCGTGGCTAACGTCATCATTGTAGCGTTGTCGTTCGCCCTGTGCACAGCGTCGATAGCGTACTCATTTTACTACATACTCGCAACAGGAAGATGAAGTGTTGTGTATTATCTTGTAAAAACTATTCTGATAAACGTTCCGATGCTATGAGTGGCATCACTTTTCATGTGTAAGTTGTTTTATGCGTAATTTATTGTAATAGTAGTAGAAACATATCTCGGACTCAGCGTTTCCAAATTATTACTCTACCCGACACTAAATAGCGACACTGACATAAGAACTAAATATAATAGAATATATAGATACGCAGAGTTTAGTATTAACGTATTTTAATAATCATTTGTACAGTAACTATTTCAATATTCATTCCTAAAGATCCTTTTTATCTCCAAAATATTATTTTTGTAGCTTTATATCATTTTTTGAACAGGCTGCCATCTATCGTCAAATACAAGTAGTATAACAAACACAAAATGAAAAAGGCAGGGCTGTAATTAGGAGCAAGTTTCTGTTGTTGATGAATTCAAGTCGCGAATACAAGGGAATCACGGGAAACTCAGTTGCTAGACTATAATAATTTATTTAAAGTACTTTCCCTTCATCACACAATTAGTATAATGGCTACCCATCATGTTGTTTACTAAACTAGATCTTTTTAAGTACCTACTATCTAGCTAACTATCTAGTTCAATTAGTTAACATTAAAATAATGTGTATAGTATGCTCTAGGTTTCCATCTGAAGATAATCTAAGACAGCAATGGATAAGAAAAATTAATAGACAAGACTGGTCTCCGACTAAATATACAAAAATTTGTTCTTGCCATTTTAATAATGAAGATTTCATAGTGACGATCAAAGGCAATAGAAAATTAAAGAAGGGAACGTTGCCTTGTTTAAAACTGGATTCACCGGTTTGTTACAAATTTACAATATAGATACAATTATTTTGGGAGAATGAATTATTTTAATTGTTTTATTATTGTTTCATCCTTTATTACAGCTTAATAGAAAATTATCTCCAAAACCTACCACATCTACAAATGACTTAAATAAGCCAACCATATCGTCACCAAAGCCTACCACACCTACAAATGACTTAAGTGAATTTCTGATACTGAATGATACGCCAAAAAAGAAGCTAAAGCAAGAAATAGAACAACTTCGTTGGAAAGCAAAGGCAGATAGATTGAAAATCAGAAGACTTCAAATGAAAATTAATCGTTTGAAGAAGAAGGTACTGGCGCTACTTTTAGGCAGTGCTTAGTATGTTTTTTTTTTCTTAACCAAATACGTTTTCTTTTGTTTTAGGTTCAAAGTTTAAGTGCGGACGCTCCAATCTTGGTAATTCAAGAACTAATTTAAAAAAAATAGTTTCCCAAATGCTGCTCGCTTGGGGTTTGATGAATTAATTAAAGAATTCGAAAGCAAACCGTTGGAAGAAATCAGAAATTTTATGATCAATTAATATTAAGTTGAAAAACTGAAAGACGTCAGTTGGCAAAAAAAAATAAAAAAACAATGACGAAGGCATATTCTCTAGTTCTCCGATCATTCGCTTTGACGCTTTTTACATTTTTCTTAAAACGTTTACTCATATACCTACATACATGTCAGAAAAACTTTCGATACTTGCTTAACGCATCCAAGAGCTATTTCTTAACTAGCTTTTGCTTGCGACTCCGTTCGCATGGAATAGTGACTTTTTGCAGATTTTTGGTTTATCCTATGTCCTTTCTTGAGTTCCAAACTATGTCTGTACCAAATATCACAGAAATTGGTCCAGTAGTTTAGGCGTAAAGAAAAGACATGGTTGTAATATAAAGTTAATATACAATTGACATTATTACTTGATAATACAAAATTTAAAAATTAAAGTTTTTATATGTATTTTGGCAATTATTGTCAGTGTAAGGACCGTATGAGGGTTTGCCGCGCTTTTTAACTGCTAGTTAACTACGTTCTTACAGTTTGAGTATTTGCGTAAACGACCCAAATGTTTGGATAATATTGTTCGTCGCACAACTCAGCAGCACCCGTTAGTTAAACCGGTTGTAAACTGAAGTTTATGCATCCTATTTTTAAAACGGGTCCACTTAAACTGATGTGGTTCTTTCATGAAAAGACCACTACCGAATGAACTTGCACGGTTCTTACACATTGTATTATAACGGCATTTCTTCTCAGAGTAGTCAGATAGGAAATGCCGGCTTCGTCTAGTTTTTTATATGTATTTTAGTGTGTAAAAGTGTCGTTTTATGGCCTTTTTGCAAAAATAAATTCATTGTGTCAATGAATACACTTTTTCATTATAATTATTCAATTATTTATTCTACCTCTAAAATTTTGTTTTACCTACATAGTATGAAGGTTTTTTTGCGTCATGTGGTTTTATAGTAGTCTGGTATTACTTATTTATTTAAGAGTTTTTAATGGACTGCTTCCTAAATGAGAAAAGTATATGTGACGAAATAAGCGATTTTTAACAACGTATGTAACCCCTTTAAAAATGTTAAAATAAAAAGGTTTTGATGAATGTGCAATGATTCTCATTGATAAATTGTAGCTTTACTGTTTCAATAAAAAGATTATTACAAATTTAACAAAAAAAAAAACTTTTATTCCGAGTATGACCCTGTTGCATCCTGCACTTAGTGACATCTATTGTGAGATAGTTACGTAACTACAAAATAAAAACAACAGAACGATCCAGTAGTTTTGCTTTTGACCGGCAGGTACTGGTGCAAATAAACGAATGGGCGGAGCCTCACACGCAAAATATTACGCTGTGTTACTAATTAAGGATATATTTCCTCTTTGTTCTTACTGCATGTCTAAAGCCATCAGTTTTACAATCACAGCAAAACTACTGTTGATTAAACTCTACCTAAAACGTGGAACAAAACCAAAGACTAAAAATATTTGTATCATTTGTTGTTTATGTTTGTTGTCACTTGTCATGTTGTCAAACTCCAATCAAAAGTAATGAAATGACAGTTCAAATCTTTGGTTCAAATCGAATATTGTACTAAACGTAGTGGTTACATACTCTTTGTATTGTACGTAGAATGGTGCTTGTTACAGCGATAATTATTAAGCCCATTCCCATTTTCATTTCTTACTTGGAGCGAATACAGTAAAATTATAAATATTTTTTCGTATTAGGGGTTACTGACCCAGAATCCACGTTAAAGTGAAATCAATAACATAACCTAACCTCTAAATAACCGCAGCATGTCGAACGAAATTAAAATTGGTGACTATATTGTTATACAGAAGCATAACTATAAAAAGCTGCACAAATTTAATAAATCAGATTCCACTATAAACTTAGGAAAAGATACTATTTATTTAGATGGACTGGCTGGCTGCCCATACTTTTCAGTATTCAAATTGATTCCTAAATATAATAAGAAGAAAAGGGAATTTACAGTTGAGTTAGCAGAGGGAGCTGTAAAGTTAACAGACGAGATTGATATAAAAGTATCTGGTAATGATAATAGAAACATACTTGATGATGGACGGTCACAAAAGTTATCAGCAGCTGACATTGAAACACTCAAAAGTGATTCTAATAAAGCATCAGATATTGTGGAAACTTTAATCAGCAATTCAAACACATTTCATAACAAAACAGAATTTTCTCAAGATAAGTATTTGAGGAAAAAAGAAAAAAAATATTTTGAATATTTTCAAATATTAAAACCTAATTTAAGAATAATAAGTGAAATTATGTACAAATTAGAGCCTAATAAAATTCAGAACTTAAGGATCGACACACTATCACAAATTATTACAATGGTAAATATCCACTGTGAGGGAAACCACCTGTTGTATGACTCTGGTTCTAATGGGTTAGTGGCTGCTGCATTATTGAGTGCTATTGGAGAGAATACCACTGGTAAACTAGTACACATGCATCCTGGTAACATGTCACAAAAACAAGCATTGTTAGCTATGAATTTTCCTGAAGAACAGCTAAGTAGATGTGTTTCTGTTAATGTATACTCAGCACTTAGGCAATTCTATCAAGGCTGTGATACAAATAATTCTGCAACTCGAGAAGAAAAAGCAGAAGGCACAGAGCAAACATCAATGAAGAGAAAACATGAGACTAACTCTGAAGATTGTCCATCCAAGAAAATTAAGCAAGATAATGAGAATGAATCATTAGAAAATGATAATACAAATGTTCAGGATCCTCCAAGAGAAAATAAAAAGCCAAAATGGCATTTTGATAACATAGCTGCCTCAGAAATCTTGCAAAATAAGATGGATTCCTTAGTAATAGCATCCAAAGAGGATCCACAAAATATCTTTAATGAATTAGTGAGTTTTGTTAAACCTGGCAGACCATTTGTGATCTACTATAATGTTGCAGAGCCATTACAGCAGCTGTACATGCAGTTAAAAATGCAAAGCAATGTTGCTGCTCTAAAACTGACATGTAACTGGATGAGAAATTATCAGGTGAGGGAGGATTAATTTACCTACATTATTTACTTCACTGAAATTGGTAATTACATTTTAACAAAACTATGTGAAGAAACTAACATTATATGCCTCACAAAATAACTTTTTTTCTTTGGATATTGCATGTTCTCATTTTAATTGCCCAATTATCAAGTAAGAAAAACATTACTTCGAAGCGATGCATGGTTGGTTAACAAGGTAAAATCCACCATCCATGAACTTTTCTTTTGCCATAAATTTTGATATAAGGTTTCTTTACATGGAATATGATTAAAATTAGTTAATTAGTCATGATACTTATTATAAAGGTATTTAAAAGATGAAATAAAAAAAATATTTTACTAATTTAATCATCATTAAAGGTCTTTTGCTGTTGCATCATTCATAAGATGAAGTAATAATATCTGATAAGGCACATAGTATAGTCGTCAGGGGGTTACGACGAATGCTTACTAATTCGGCGATACCCGCCCCTCCGACACATGGGTAATTGGAGGAACACCAGGTTGGTTTTCAGTCAGTAAGAGTCTGACAGTACCCTTCGCCCTTCCCCGAGGGCGATGGGTCTCCATGCGGATTTTCCAACCCGACACAAAAAAAAACGGCACATCGTATAGTACATCGATAATTAATGTTATTATATAAATGAATATACTTATTGCATTTCCAGATCAGATAAGTTTAATCTTTAGTGTAATATCTTATCGTTACAGGTGTTGCCTGATAGAACTCATCCAGAAGTTACAATGAATGCATCAAGTGGGTTCTTGTTAAGTGGCTATGTCCTTAAATAATGTTATTGTTATATAGGTACCTAAAGAAATGAATTTAAATGTAAATAAAATAAACACTGTATTTTTTATAAATTTATTTCTCTCATTTACTCAATGAACATATCATGTCTAAATGCATTATAAAATTTTATGAATCACTATGACTGACATGCAATGAAATCGACTGATATTTTATTTGTAGACACATTTTAATATCTTTTTGTGTATTTCTCATTTACAACTTTAGTAATAAGTCCTTTTTAAAAATTGGGGTACCTATCTAGGCAAGTCTGATCATGTATAAATCACGACAGTAAATTTCTTTATAAAATTTCATAAAAGTGTGGATTACAAACACCACCAAATACAAAATGGAAACATACACAGATTTATCACCAAGTACCGAGATATTTATATTTCAATACTCTTGTGATGAAAAGCTTTAGTGTCATATCGTCATACTGTGGAGGAATGTATTCAGTCTAATGTGGTTTGCATTTGGTGTTGCTCAGTGATATATTAACACTATGAAAAATAACTTATTTGATATTAAAAAAAACATATATTCGAGAGGAACATTGATTGCTGCGACCTGCGTGAATTATGATAAATATTTATGCAGTAATGAAATGAATTTGGCACTTATCTAATTTAAAATAAGCTCCAGCTTCTATAACGCCAAGCATGTGCTGATGTAAAAAGCTAAAACTGTTTTCATGATACATGTTGTGCTGCAACAGGGACCAATATTGTTTCAATACCTACAATAAACACATTGAATAAGGATATTATTTAATTTCCCATCATGTCCTACATTATATTTGATTTCTACTCTCATTTCACTAACTTCCTATTACCAATCGTTTTTAATCTTCCAAATTTAATGGCTAGATTGTATGTGACATTTCTTATAGAAATATCATTATTATTTGATAAGAGATAAATACCAAAAAGGCGTTGTCCTCCACAACAAGTAAAATATTTAATTAATTGATTTATTTGTGTTCAAGGACATGTTTATAATAGACTTAACTACATTTATATAAAAATGTTATCGCTGTCGCTAGCACCATTTTTGCGGTTTAATATTCATATAATACATAAGTGATTACATTCATCTGTGTCCACTGTTGATTTCTTTCTACAAGAGGGGAATGTTTTAATCGAGAAGTGAATGATATGATTAAGATATAATGATAGAAGCAATAGCATTAAATATATGCCTACAAGCAATTCATATTATACAAAAAAAAAACATTACAATTACCTTGCGCTCTACATTTGTAAATATGAATTCATTCAAATAATTAAATAAGATATATTACTCGTATATTACAGAATGTTATCGTTAAATAAAAATATCCGTTATAAATATTATAATTTCTTTAAATCTAAAACTGAATAGCTAATAAAGCGGTAAGAGAAATCTAGAGATCTTCAGAATTGTCAGTTTCATTCAAAAAGCGAAATATTGTACTCACTGGCTGACATCGACGCAGAAAACAAAGGAGTTGAACAGCGCATTTAGGTTTGCGTAAACTCCGCCAAATGTATAGTTACATTACAATTTATTAAGCCGTATGCTATCAACTATACAACAAAGACCGATATATTTTGCAGAAAATAGCTGGTCTTATACAAAGAGAGACACATGTATCCTACCCATACTATATTTCGCTGAAATGAAATCATTTTAAGAATTTGTCTTACAACATAAGATAACACAATAGTTCAAAACCAAAAAACAATAATACTGCACCGGAGTTCGCACCAAACAATATATAAATACACAAACTATTTATGCATGCAGTATTTTTAAGTAAAATATGTTAAATAATAACTTTGGTATTGGTGTTAACATATCGAAAGGCATACATCGCTGTGATTAGAACAGCACTAAACGCTAAAGCCGTAGCGTAGATTCAAATAAGTTCAAGACTCTGCTTGGCCGGTAACGCGTCGTCACAAGGGCGCCGACATCGATTCACGGCGTGACTCGCCCAGCTATGAAGAGTCTTCATCATACCACGTGCGGAAGTCGCAGCTTTCGTCATAATCATCCTGTCAACAATAAATATATTTTTGACAATATTTAATTGACTACCAATAAACCTACAAGCATGGTGATAATCAAAGTGAATTCGATAATCGTGTAAGTAGGTATAATGAACTAACCGCCATCCAGGCGTGGTCGAGTACGTCCTCTGCAGCAAAGCGCAGCTCTGGCTGTGGGCGCAACATGTTGGCGACTAGGTCGATGGCGCCCGCAGACACGCGCTCCCAGTGCGGGGCGGGAAACTCTAACCGAGCCGACAAGATCGCATCGAACAACTTCTCTTGATCACCGTCGGGAGATGAGAAAGGAGGGAATCCACATAACAATATGTATAAAATCACGCCAGCCGCCCAAACATCAATCTGTAAATAGATAAACAGAATACATGTTTTCCTGTGTAACTATTTTCTTATCTGTAACTTTGCATGAAATGGTGGTACTATCATAAATGTATATTTGTTTACATGTAAGAAGGTCACACAACTGTCCATAAAATGTAAGTATTTATAGAGGACTAGAGCACACAACCACTTTGTAAACAAAGTTAAAAGTTCAAGTTCACATGAATAGTTAAAATGGTGAGAAAATATTTTATCTTCAATCTAAAACAAAACCTCTTTTACATAATACTAGTTACAAGGTATATTGTTTATGATGGGAATGGTATTTTTCGGAGTGGTTTGCGTTTTATTTCCATACAATCGTAAGTGTATCGGAGCCTTTATTGATTGTTTATGAATAGATTGAAAATATTACCTTTAATCCATATCCAGTCTCAAGTAGTATTTCAGGTGCTACATATGTAGGAGTGCCACAGACCGCGTGGAGTGGTCGCCACACTTCAACTGCCAGACCAAAGTCAGCCAGCTTCAGGCCGCGTATGCTGCCGTCCAAACCCACTTCCACCTAGAAATTTGTGTTTCATTTTTATTTTATAACTCCCTCTTACATATATAAATACATTTTAGAATAGTTAGGCACCCTGGTCATATATACTTTTTCCATTAATTATGTTTTATGAAATATGTAATGTAATAAATATAATATGTACAAGTGATGATGTTTATTTACAAAATATTGATTAGACTGACAGGAGCTCCATATTACATGCGTATATTTTGGGATGATAATTCAAACGTTTTCAAGGATTGTTAGTTGATATCTTACCAATAGATTTTCGGGTTTGATGTCACGATGCACTATAGAAAGCGAGTGTAGATATGCGATAGCAGATGTTAAGTGGCCGATTAGCAAACGCGCTTGGGGCTCAGAGAATTTGGAAGCGGCCGCGATACTATCAAACAAGTCTCCACCTAAAAATACAAATAATGTTCAAGTGGAATGAGAATAATAAAGCAATGTTCTATTAGATATCACTGGAGATTTGTTAATGATGAAATGATTGAGAGTTCCATTTACGACTAAATTAATACACACCACTGACTAATTCCATTACAAGGAAGAGCCACTCAGGACTATCCTGTTCTTCGATTAGAGATACAATTCGTGGATGACACAGCTTCCTCATCACTCGAACCTGAAGATAGAAGTTTTACCATTATAAAACCTCAATATGTAGCAACATCTATTAATAAGTTCTTTGGCATGACATCAAAGGTCTAAGCGTACGCGATAGCGCAAAATATTTTCTCTAAATATTGCTCTATAAACAGATGCATGACGCGTGGAACTTTTTCATATATTTAGAATTTGTTTTAATTATTGTATTAATAAAAATAAATATAGTGGTATAAGGTGTATTGTTATAAAAGCTATTTTAGTTTAGAATATTTACCTCAGCTTCCACATAGTGCTCCTTGCCCTTACACTTGGCTTTATCAATAACTTTGAGGGCATATTCCTTTCCAGTGGTCTTGTCTTTACATATCCGTACAACAGCGAAGTTGCCGTCACCTATTACCGATATGACAAATGGACGATAATGATAAAGTATTGCTTGTAATATTGAGAGAATAAAATCTGGTCAGGATCAAGCGTTGAGCTAATAAAATCTTTTGTTCATAAAGTATCAAGTCATCTAATACAAGTTATATTTAATGATACAGAGTTACAAAACTAAAGAAATAAAACAATTGGAATTCATTCTCACAAGATCGATGTGAGGTGCATTAAAATTAAAAAGTGTACAAGAATTTGACTACTTTCACATACTATTATCGAATTGTGCAGTTGACAACTGTTGTGTGATTAAAGAAGTTGGAAAACTATCATTGTTTGTTAATGTGTGTATTAAAATTACTTAAAAAAAATGCACTGACCAGAATTTATAAGTAGAAAACACTAACAAAAACACAAGACAAATACACTATGGAAATATCAAGAAGTGAATAACATTTAGGAAAAATGAATGCTTAGTATTTGAGAAAAGTCGAGTACGTACCTATGATTCTGCCGACGCTGTACTTGAGTCTTAGAGGTTGTGGTAGTAAGGGGGCTGTCGACTCGTCAGAAACGTCGCCGCTTGCGCCTGCACCTGCCTCACTGGCCGCTCGAGCTGCGCCACCACCCGCTTTCACTGGCATACGCGGTTTTGGGCCAGTCCTGAACGAAATTATAGATGGTAAATTTTGATTTATTATTATAATTAACAATAATAAAACACAAGTTGTAAGTCTATTGGAAAGTCAATCTACCTTGAATTTCTTGATATAGGAGTTTTTCTACACTGTAGCACAGCCTTATTTTCTTCAAATTCCAATTCAAAATCCTCTTGGTTAACCCTGAAAATAGCACCAAAATTAATATTTAGGTATCAAAATTAATATCAAGGTATATATTTTAATATATTTATATTCATTTATTAATGAGCGAAGTATTTTCTGTTCTCTAAAAACATTACCTCTCATTTCCATACGCAAAGAACACATCTTCAACTTCAAAGAATTGATTCAATGCTGTGACAACAGATCCTGTTCTTGTGAACACCTTACGGACACAACCTGTGTCTAGTTTTACACATTCTGTTATAGCAGCAAGTGCATGTTCCAAAGTAGGGCTGTTGCGTTTGTTGAGTAACAATCTGCACACCTGTGAACCATAATTAATAATAAACAAATTTATTTATTAGTTCTTGACACTGCAATAATAATTCAAAAGGATAAATAGACATTTTCCTCTATAATGACGTCATTTTATACATTTTCAAAGTACCTGAGGTATTCAGTCCCTGAATCACAATAAATAAAAGTTATCTAAGGTGTTATAAATGTGTGAAATGATCTTTGATTAGCTTACAATTTTATATTTCAAGTAGTAAGTGGACAAAAAGTATCTTACCTTTCGTGGTTTCACTCCATTACGTATAATAGTAACTATGCGTGGTCTTACAACATTGTCTCCAGCAGGGCTTACTCTTGCTGTCCCGTTGCCGGTAGTACTACTACCATTTGCCTGAAATTTTTTTATAGTAGTTTATTCCTCTATTACAAGGAAATTAAGCTTTATATATGTTTCTGAAACATGGAAATTATTATTACCTGCAAATATCGGGACAATCTGTTGTTAGCCCGAGCTGGGGATGGACTTGAGCTATCACTCAAAGACTCTGGGCCACTGAGTCTGAAAGATTGAGGGGTCACTGCACTGGCTTCATAATCTAGACGTTTAAAGGGTTCACCAAATCCGCTACAGACATATGATTGCCCATCTTCTAGATCATCCAGTTTGCCTATCTGTGGACCATAATTCTATTGTAGTATAACATTTTTAAAGTTTCCCAGGATAAAAAAGTAACAGCTGTTATTGATACCACGAATGAAAAAGAAACTACTGGTTTAACTTACTTTTCTACCCTCAAGTGAATATATTGCTCTGACACCACTTGGCAAAGTTACATTGTCAACTAAAACCCTTGTTAGATCTGCTGTAAGACTATCAAAAGACCTGTAAACAAAGATTAACTAAATTACTGATTGGCCATGTGAAATGTTATGTAAATATTTCTTAGCTAGAAACAGTGTGCTTTTAATGTTTGTATGTAACTAAAGTTTGTTATAACTATCACAATGATAAAAGGGTTAATTTAATGTGTAAATTTGCCTTCTGACTAAATGAAGATGTATACAATAAATAGAAGGAAGACAATGATTTGTTTCTTTAGGAACAAACAATTATATTGATTTCAAATCAAATGGGTATTTATACAGCACGGGAAGGAAAGGCAAATTATAATCAAACAATTATCATAACATCCTGTATAACCTTGATAGGGTAATTGTTGCTTATTTAACTCACTACAACAGTCAAATTAGGGCTAGATACATGTCAATGTTTACAGCCAGAATTTATGTACATGTATTCTAATCTGGGTACATGTATTTTTTATTAAATTATATTCAACTTTTCCCAACATATCATAATGATAAGTTAAGGTGATTATTCTGAATTGTTTATATTTGAGAATTATTGGAATAGAAAAAGTAATGCATATATATATATGTATTATTATTATAATGATGATCTAATTTTGAAAGATGTATTTAAGTGTGTGTCATACAAGTATTGTGATTAGGTGTTAATAAATAAAATTACTATCATTTTTTACTTATTTGCTAAACAAGGGGTCCACCACCAAATTAAGAATTATTGGTATATAATTAATTGAGTATGAGTTAGAGTAATAAAACAATAACAACCTGCTTAAGGACACAAAAAACAGCTTACCATTGCTAACATGCAATTACATTCTCAACAGTTGAACATTGCTTCATAACTCACAATAGAACTGTTGCACTTCTGTTGTGGACTTACATAAATACTTTATAATGTCCAATTTAGAATAATCTATAGGTATGTATAAAAGTGAAAGTGTTCTAATGATTTTCTAACAAGAACTAATATTAGGTTCCTATTAGCTGTTCGGTTTACGAAATGTTACACTAACCTGTATCTCTCTGGCAAGACTGGAATTATAACACCTGAATAAAATTTATCACCATTTCTAAAAAATCTGACTCGTTTTGCTTTCCGCGCGGCTGGCGTTCGGAGCAGTACGTTACGTCGGTTCGTCCTAGTTTTCATAATTTCCATGTCGCTAAAGTCCTTTTCCAGCTCACATACGGAGCTCGATCGGCTGCCACTACGGCTCAAGTTATTCTCCATCTAAAATATAATAAAAATTGAATTAATGTCTCAATTAGAGCAGCATAACGGATCATCTTTACAATACAATCTAACCCTCACCTTTTCCCTTTCGGTTCAACGAACTATTTTAGTAATAAGTCGAAGGAGCAATATGTCATTACTATTAGTATCCTCCCATTTTGCACTTTGAAAAAGTGAAAAATATTCAGGCACGGAAATAAGAATAACAATTTCTGTACAACTCATGAATCACACAGAAATCAGCGCAGACAGACGAATCACGAATCATACCATACGAACGAACGAATTTACTAGGTACAATACGAATGGCAGGCTGAGACGGAACGGAACGATTATGAAATGAACACAATCTATGTTTTTTTGATAATTATGTTGAATGAATGCACTAAGAACCATGAATGACTTTTTACATCATGTTACAACTAAACTAGGCATATCATATCTGCAGAGTTGTTCTGTATTTACAAAGTTACTAATAATAAAAGAGCCCATTCACTGTCCAACGAAACCAACTGAAGTAGGACAATGTACATAAAATATTAATAAATTCTCCTAGAACATAAGTTATTTGATTTAAAAATTATGTAATATTAACATTACATTACATAAGGTAATTTAACGATAATACCTGAACTAATATCTTATAATAATCCTTAGCAGCCTTAGCGTATCTTTAAACATAGGTTAATATTCTTACGTTTGTAAAATATTTGTATAACGATTTTTCTAAAACTATATTGATAATATTGTAGGCATGTTGGTAGATGGATGTTTTCTATGTACCGCACTCAGAATACAGAACAATCTGTATTCTGAGGTACCGAATTAAGATCTTCACACAAAAATAAACAATAGAATTTTTAGGTTCTCTCATATTTTTTTCTATATACTCTTTAAAAATATTGAGGTTCCTGCTTTAAATGAAATAGTTCGCGCGAGAAGCATTTCCAAAGTGATAAAATGTAACTTCTAGGATACGATAACGATAAAACAAATATAAAAATAATGTGCATTTCGCTTTAGACTTCCCACAAAAATCATTTGAACGTGATCTTGAAAGCAGTATTTATAAGATTCTTCATTAACATGGTATATATAATATGTTCCTTGCTGCTATGGAACCCTTAAATGGCAAGTCCAACTCGCATCATTAGTCTCATTTGGGCTAAATGAGAGTTTAGTACTTTCTAGCCTACTGTATTTAATTTCGTGTCCAAATGTTCATGTGTTTAAATTATAGATTCAAAAATAATTTACCACTCCTTAAACGTGTGACCTGAGTTGCCAAATCGTTAGTTTTATATTAGAATCTATGTAACTAAAGATGATTTTAGTAGCCATTTTTGTAACTCACTATTTATACAATGTTTTTTTACATTTTACTACAACGGTAATGTTGTGAAAATTGGTAGATGTTTACATAATTCCGATATTTTTATATGGCAATACCCATTAGGCATCGAAATAAACTAGCCACGAAAAACAGGTGACGCATTTATCAATTTCGTTTATGTCAAAAGTGCAGACAAAGAGTGTGATTATTTTGTAATTTTCCACATTTTTATAATTTTTTGTGAAAAATGTCGTCGAGAAAAAAGGCACTACTGAAGGTAATCATCCTTGGTGATAGCGGTGTGGGCAAAACTTCGCTTATGAATCAGTTTGTCAACAAGAAATTTTCCAACCAGTACAAGGCAACAATAGGCGCAGATTTTCTCACGAAAGAGGTAATCGTAGATGATAGAATCGTCACCATGCAGATTTGGGATACTGCTGGCCAGGAACGATTTCAATCTTTAGGAGTGGCGTTCTATCGTGGGGCGGATTGTTGCGTCTTAGTATTTGACGTAACTGCCCCCAACACGTTCAAGTCCTTGGAAAGTTGGAGAGACGAATTTTTGATACAAGCTTCGCCAAGAGACCCTGACAATTTCCCATTTGTCATTTTGGGCAACAAGATCGACTTGGACAATCGCGCTGTTTCTGCTAAGCGGGCACAACAATGGTGTCAAAGTAAAAATGATATTCCCTATTTTGAAACTAGTGCCAAAGAGGCTGTGAATGTGGAGCTTGCTTTCCAGACCATAGCTCGGAATGCCTTGGCCCAGGAGACAGAAGCAGAGCTGTACAACGAGTTTCCTGATCAAATCAAGCTTAACGCCAATGACAATGGTCGTAACAGGGATGGTGATAACTGTGCTTGCTAGGCCCTAAGAAATATGCTTCAATGATGGCAATTTATTAGTCTCAGATTATATAAAGTAAACATACATTAAAGTATAATAATATTCTGTAAGTAATGTTTCCTTTTATATCATGTAAAAATGTATAGAAATATAATGTACCACATTCACACATAATTTAAATTGGTTGTTGCACATTAAAAATTTCAAAGTTACAGTTTTTGTGAAGTCTTTGTTTTCTTGTTTAAGTACAATATATAATCTTGATAATTTGGCAAAATTTCTGTTAACCGTATTAGTTTCTGTTCCAAAGATAAATGATTCCAAAAGTGGTCTAATAATAATTATTCTAATGTATGCTAAAATTTACATTATTGTAAAAAACTAGTTGAAATCAGTTTGAAATGTGTCAAGGTTACAACTTATATACTGAGTTGTGACCATTTTATCAATATTTTTGGCGATTGGTGATGTTTCAAGTACACTCAAATCTTTTCTATTTTATATTTGTTACCATACAAAATTTGAGACAGAATATTTTAATTATTTTAATAACATTTATTTACTTTGTTTAAATTACTTATTGATTAGTACATTCTAGAACACAACTATTTTGAACCCTTACTACCGACCTTATTAAATGACAAGTTTGTTTTTATTTCTGAGTGGGCTATGGACTAGGGTATTCCAAAATGATATAATTATGTATAAATATTTAAAAACTAGAAAAATACTGCAGGGTGTGTTTCTCCATTTCAATCAAAATAATATTCTCTATAACAGGCCTGTTTACATTACATTGAGTGCGTAATTAATAAAGTAATTTAAGGTGATTTTGCTAAATACCTATTTCTAAATTAGAAATTATGATTTTTATTATTGTAACTGGTAAAGTAGATATATTTTCAAAGTCAGTCTCCGCTTGTCTGATCATAAGTAAAATTGTTAAATGAAAAGAATTTGCCTTTATTAGGTACTAATATAACAATGTCAAAGAGACAACCAATTAATTTTGTTCTGTACTCAATGTTGTGTTAGAAGAATATAACTTTGCATAGAAATGTGATGAAATGTATACCTAAAACATTCATGATATACAAAATGTGATATTTTAAGTTGAATTCTTTGTTAAAATATGTCGATTGTTATTTGTTCAGTTGCCTTTTGGTAAGAAAATACCGAAATATACAGTATTGATGTGGAAATTCGACTGGTGTGGCTTCACCACTCTGTTTACCATAATTGGATTATGATTGTGGAAAGCGACAGTGTTTGAACAGAGTTAATGCAACATTCAACATTTCTGTATATATTTGGATTTAAAACATTAGTTGTAAGTAGATAATGATAACACTATTATAAAATAACATGTTATATTACTCAGCACTATTCATAATAAGTTTTGGGTTATGAGAACAAATAAAAATGTTAACACTCAAAACTGAAAAACTAAATACCTACCAACATACAATAGTAAAAGATTACTAAGTTGTATTTTTTGTATCCAAACAATACAAGCAGCTTATAAAGCAATGCCTAATGCTAAATCCAGCTTTTCTAGGATTGTAGATTTTTGTGCAGCATTTATGCTGTGTGTCGCTATTGTTATTGGTATTTGTAACCATGAAGTCCATTGAATGTAGCTGTATTTGTATAAATTCATACTGTTAATGATTTTATTATAAACCTCGCTAACTATATTCATCATTCACACGACCTTGCCTTTATTTCAATACTAAATTAGTGATCAATATGATTCTCACGTGTTTTTACATTGCATATTTTTAATTATTATAGTATGTATAATTATTACCTAAAACAAATATAAATTAAGATCTAGTTATAATAAAGGAAGGTAACAAACGATGTACGCTGTAATAATGGTTGCTTTTAATTTTATATTAATAAACAAAAAAATATATAATTCTGTTTCATTTATAGTTAGTTATCTGGGGATCTTTAATATATTTTCAGCCTTGTATCTTACTTAGGTATATTATTATTATAAATGCGAAAGTTACAATTTTTGGTGTTTGTTATTCAATCACGCCAAAACGGCTGGACGGATTTGTATGAAATTTGGCACAGGCATAGGATACACTCCGGAATAGGACAGGCTACTTTTTATCAATACCACTATCTCTATTAATATCATACCACGCGGGCTAAGCCGCGAGCGGAAGCTAGTAAATAGGTACATAGTTCTGTAATGCGGGCTTATGATTCACAAAGCAGGTACATACCTAATGTGTCTAGTTGAACAAAACGACGTAACTACTTGCTGCCGCTGCTATTGTATTATTTGCAGTTAACGACACTAACATCAACATATTTTGAGTGGTTATTATCTTTAAGTTTCTTGTCTCGCCCTGGATGGGGCGAGGAGCTTCAGGCTTTTACTGACTAAAAACCACCTCGTTCCTTCTGCTCTTTCTACTTTAATGCGATTGCACCCTCAACCATGGCTGTAAAGATGTTCATTGCACAATCAAAATCCCGGATTACTAATCGAAGTTTGTAGGAAGTACAGTAGGTTTTTGTCTAAGCGAGTCTTGTTCTAAAAGTATGCATGCAAGTCTAACAAAAGATCAGACTTTATTCGCTTAGTCATTATCGTACTTAGGTACCTGTAGGTAGGTACTCATATGGAAATTCCATATTATATTAATATCTAATGTTTCTACAATATTACAAAATTGGCATTTTAAGTCGTAAGTAAGTAAGTAAGAGAATTCAATAAAATAAGTGATGGAATTGTATGTCCTAAACGATTCGTAATCTGAAAATTTTAGTATCCAAATAATTTCAAGCAATTGCCGACTTTATAGACGTACCTATTTTGTTTCGACATCTGAGTTAAGCCCAACGTGAGAGTTTTATGTAGGCATTTGATTGATGAACGCGAGTATCATTGATGTCGCAACTTCCGGGATCAACGTGCCTTTCATATCAACGTAGGTACTTACCTATGACAATACTTAGTGTTATTTATGCGATTTGGCAGTACAGTGGCAAGTAGAGATATTCTTTAGTCTCGTCTCGTCACGTCACCATGGAGTGGTCGTACATCGTGATAAGGTGTAATGAAAAATTACTTCTTCATAATCGAACAGAGAAAATTTAGGTACCTACTTAGGTGGGCCTGCCAAACCATCTGGCGGGCCAATACCCGTCGGGGGGTTGCGACGAATGCTTCGGCGATACCCGCCCTCCGACATATGGGTAAGTGGAGGAACACCGGGTTGGTTTTTAGTCAGTAAGAGTCTGACCCTTCGCCTTTCCCCTAGGGCTATGGGTCTCCACGAGGATTTTCCAACCCGATACAAAAAAAGGTACCTACTTAGGTATGAAATTGAAAAACAAATGAAACGAGCGGAACAAGAAGAAGATAAATGAAACCTATCGGCTTTTTATTATGAGTACCTTGGTACCTATCTAAGTATCTAGGTAATGCAGACTATATTATATAAACATGGAAGATACAATAGAAGAGAGTCTAAGAGAAGACGACTTCTAGTTGAAAGAGTGAGGGCTTAGGTGTGTTCCCCGGGCGTACGGAGCGTAGCGTTCCAGTCGTACCATAAAGAGCCAATAGACCACCAGAGATGTCCAGAGAAGTAGGGCAAACGCAATAAGGTTAGTACCGATAGCGGCCTCGGCCTGGAGTAATAGGAACGTGGTTGTATTAGTGAGTAAGAGTCTGACACTCCCTCTCGCCTACCCTGGGCGGGAGATAGAAGATGATTTTCCCCTCACAAAAAAAGTCTGGAGCCGACACTAATATATTTATATACCTACTAGCAGCCCACCCCCGCTTCGCACGGGTCCAACTATCCCGCTAACAATGAAAGGGTCTCTTTTCCCCAGTTTTCCCCTCTACTTTTCTAATATTTTCTTTCATAAGAACCTTCTCCTGATAATAATAAATACAAAACAAAAGGATTTGGCTAAATTGGTCCAGTCGTTTTTGAGTTATGCGCTTACCAACACATTTTGCGATTCATTTTTATATTATAGATAGGTGGGTATATACCCCTTTTAATATACTATATATTTACATACCAAAGTATAGGTACCATATCAATATATTAATGTAGATAGTAGTTAATTATACATATATACGTAGTATTCTTAATCTTAGATGCTTATTACTGTCATTAAACAAATCGGCACAATTTCGGTCTTATGCATATGCTTGATACCTCATATAATTTTGAGTTGGACATGATGTTGGTGAGTGTAAAGCTCACTGATTAATCATTGGATATTTTTATAAAGGTCAAACACCAATAAGTCTACTACTTATATTTCATGATGAACTATGTATTGTTTTATTGGTATTGAAAAAATTAATGGCATTTAATTAATTGACTTACCAACCGTCAACGCCATCTGTTATGGAATAAACGAACTAGAGATTAAAATAAAGTCTTAGAAGGCATTGAATTGATCTACCTAAGTCCTTTTTCAAAACTCTATTTTCGTATTGTCATGTCTATTATGGACACTTCCAATTAAATTTATGCATATTTAAGACTAAAGAAACAAATTGATTTGAAAGACATTAAAAAAAATTGATAAGTACTACTAGGTACCCACCTGCCTAGCTTGGATAGCCTGACTAATGCGTATAGAGCGATATCATATATGTCCTAATCTTGGCTTCATATAATATCTATCTTTTGCATTAACAGACCGACTTGGACTGCGCAATTCTTCGTCAGATTTCTTGGAAAGTGTATGATTCTCTTTTATTTAGTTCGAGTGAGCTGTAATCTTATCAAGTAGGTAACTATGGTGTATTGCAAAGTCTCGTGTGTTCACTAATATTGCAAGTTTGCAACAAATAGTGTTATGTATACGGTACCTGTTACCCACTGGCCTCTTTGGATAGGGACCTGACCATGCAAAGAAATCTAAGACAATACGTTTCAAATGAAGAATTTGAGAAGTACTTACTACTGTTTTTTAATATTTAGGCTCAGAACTTTATTACAATAAACAATACAGCAATACCTGGATGATCTAGGTTTGCTCGTTTGTTTTAACATTTTTGTATTAGTA